GTCTTCGGTCGTGTCGCGTCCCCGTCCCCCCGTCGTGTCGTGTCGTCGTGCCGGCGCGAGCGCGCCGCGGGCTCCCGAGCGGGAGTACGACGCCGAGCGCTGAGGCCGCTGGCCCACCCCGCCTCGGGCAGTTCTGCCTGCGCGGGGTGCCGAGACCAGGGGCACTCACTCTCGGGCGTGCGCACGCGAGTTTAAAAACTCCTCCTCCTCCTCCTCCTCCTCCTCCTCCTCCTCCTCCTCCTCCTCCTCCTCCTCCTCGGGTCGCCTACGGCCCCGGGGGAAATCGTGCACTTCGAGAATCAAGGAACCCCTAACCCTGAGAACACAGTGAAGACGTGGCCTCCCTGAGGCCCCTGCCTCTGCATCATTAGGGATATGGATCCTGGGCGGCCCGATTCGACGCACCCGCAGAAAAAGAAGAGCCCCTGTCCACAGTGCTCTTGGCCCTCCTACCTTAGACCCCCTCCCAGAGGATTGGGGGTGCTTTTGTGGTTCATCGGCCCTCACCACCCGAGTTCTCTGTGGCTGGCGCCTCCCGCGGCGAAGCGCCGCGCCGCGCCGCGCCCCGCGGGTTGCCGACATGCCCGCGGCCGCTGCTTCGCGGGGCGCCGCCACTGCCGCCTGCCGGCGGCTGGCGGCGGCGGCCGGGCACCGGCACAGCCTCCCCCCTGCCCGACCCGCCCCTCCTCGGCCTCGAGCAGGTGGCGAAGCGTCCCGGCTCGCCTCTAGCCCCACCAAGCGATGTTCTAAGAACCTTTTGTGGTTCCCACGAAGTGTTCTCAGAACATTTCTGGCGGAGTCTGTCTTGTTTTGGCACATCGGGCTTATGTTCCAAGAACATTGTATTTGTTCTTAGAACATTCTTGGGCTCTACGAACATTTCGTGGTAGGACTATAGGAATGCCGGGACGGTCGGTCCCTGCTCAATCCTCTGCCGTGTCCCAAGGGCTGGGCGACCTCTCGCCAGTCGTGGGCACCAAGCTTTGAATCGGGCCTGTCCCTCTACAGGAGGAACATTCAAAAATAGTGCAAATCGTACGGGGGCGATTTTTTTGACCAGTTTTGATCATTTTGGAGTATTTTATTTCCGTCGAACATTCCCCCTGTAGGGGGACATGCCCGACCTAAACCAAGCTGGATAAATCGAGGTGGGCGCAGACGGATCCAGGTGATGAGATCCAGGTGCATCCAGCAGCCCACCTGGATCCATCTGCGCCCACCTCGATGGGACTTTCCATGGAACTCATCAACTAGAACCATCACCTGTCATCATTGCATTCCAGGTGATCCATGGCAGCCCACGTGGATCCATCTGCGCAGAGGATCCTGATGCATCCCTGTGTAATCCAGGTGATGAGATCCACGGAAAGCCCGGTGCATCCAGGTGGGTCCACAGGTCTCCGAGGAAGTCTGCAGCAAGGCGTGGCCGCATCGGCGCGAGTCGAGGGACGGCAGAAGTCGTGAAGCCCTTCATGGGGTCTAGGGCTCCAGAGGAGGAGGAGGAGGAGGAGGAGGAGGAGGAGGAGGAGGAGGAGGAGGAGGAGGAGGAGGAGGAGGAGGAGGAGGAGGAGGAGGAGGAGGAGGAGCGGTCGTGGGGAAAGGGTTGGGACTTTCGGGGGCCCCGTGTTGAAAAACATGCGACGCCGGATGTCTTGGGTGGAGGGCCACGGGCAACGTTGGCTTGGCTACGGCCAGGAGCGTTTGCTTCGAGGTTCGCGGCGCCGGCTCTTGCCCACCCCATCTCGGCGCGACACGCCAAACATCAACGTGAACGTTTTTTTGATTCGGCGTTCCGACATTGGGCGGAAGGGGGGGGTGGGAGGGGGGGGTCTTGCTCCGGGCCTCTGCTTAGTGCGACGGTTTGCAGCTGTGCGTCCTGTGGGGGAGGCCCCGCCTGCCCGAAACAGGCGCCAAAAACAGCCAAGATCTACTCCATGGAGGGGGGGGGGAGGGAGGGGGTGCGAGGACACGCGCCGATCGGCAAAACGGCGAATACGAAACCGATCGCGCGCCAAGCTCTCCCGAGTCTCCCGCCCCGCGACACGGAACGGCACGCTATCAGCTCGTGGGGCACAGCGTGTCGCTGGGGCCGGGCGCCCCGACACGCTACGCAGCTCCCGACCTTGGCTCAGGCGGGGATGCGACGACCCCAGATCGCCCATTCATCGCCGACAGGGGCCCGGAGGCTCACCCAGCTCACGAGCGTGCGGCTTCGCTATCGGGGCCATGTCGCTGACTCGTCGGCGATGCATCGCCGATTCCGGCTCGATGTTCGGCCCGCTGCCCCCCAGAGCAGATCCGCCCCTGTCCTTCTCCTTCGGATGTGGCAGGTGCCCCGCCTCCTCCGCCGTGCTGTCTCGGCAGGGCGCTCCAGTGGGTGGGCCCAGGGGCCTGGCATCGCTCGGACGTGTGTATCTTTTTCTCGGCGGGGACCCTCGAGGAGCATTCTTGATCATTTGGCGAAAAAACCACGGACGAAACCGAACAAAAACACAGGACATGGACGTCCGAGCGATGGCCCAGGGGCTATCCGAGCTGGCCCCGAGACTCCCCGGGGCGGCCCGCGGGAGGCAGCCGTCCCCGTACGGGGTCCTCGCTGCGCGGCGGGGCATCCCGACGCCGAGGTGCCCCAGTAGGCTGAAGTCGGGCCTGCCCCTCGACAGGAGGAACATTCCAAAGTACTCCAGATTTCGTAATAAAGGGAGGGGGGTCTCATTTCGGGGGGGGTCTCTTCCAGGCTATCTTGGAGGGCCTGGGGGGTCTGGGGACGATGTTTTGGAGGGTTCTCTCACGGGGGAGGTCTGGAAATGGCTTGTCTTGGAGGGTCCAGACCCCCTCCCTTTTATTACGAAATCTGGAGTAGTCAAAAGATAGTCCGGGGGGCGATTTCGGACGCACTCTTGAGAAATCCTTTCGGGGTCTTTTTGCTGCTACATTTTTCGGAGCTTTCGCTCCAAATCCCCCCCTGTCGGGGGACGTGCCCGACCGAACAGCAGGCCGCCTTTGCCTGCCCTCCTCCGCCTCCTCCTCCTCCTCCTCCTCCCCCTCCTCCTCCTCTCCTCCTTCCCCTCCTCCTCCTCCTCCTCCTCCTCCGCCCCCGCCTCCTCCTCCTCCTCCTCTCCTCCTCCTCCTCCTCCTCCTCCTCCTCCTCCTCCTCCCTCCTCCTCCCCCTCCTCCCCTCCTCCTCCTCCTCCTCCCCTCCTCCTCCTCCTCCTCCTCCTCATCCTCCTCCCTCCTCCTCCTCCTCCTCCTCCCCTCCTCCCCCTCCTCCCAGCGGCGTTGGGCATGGGGCCGCCTCCGCTCCGCCGCGATGCGACTCGAGAGATCCGCGGGCGGGGGGCCCGCGGCGCCGGCGTCGCCCGGGGCCCGGCCGGGGCCCGGCCGGGGCCGGGTGCCCCGGCCCGCCCTCGAGCCCCAGTGAGGGATGATCGCGAGCGCCCAGAGCACACGGCGCCCCCGTCCTGGGTACGTGGTGTGCCGAGCCGGGCCGGCCCGAAAGCGGGCCCCGGGGCCCTCACCGCGGAGCAGAAGCTCGGGTCGCCCCCCCGGGATTCGGCAGCACATCATGGGAGCCTCGTGCGCCCTCGTATCTGGTATACCCAGACATCGGGCGTCTCGAAAAAATCGAGACGAAGGTTTTTCGCAGTTTTTGGCCTCTCGGGGCCCTCGCCGGGCCTCGGGACCGTCAAAAAACGACTCGGGATGAAACACCGGTCCCGGGGAAGTGGTCGGGAGGTCGGAGGCCCGTGTCTCGAAAAAATCGAGACGTCGGATGTCTGGGGCTTCGAGTCGGCGCGGTCCGCTGGCGAGGCGAGGCGTGCTCGCTGCGAGCCGGGGTGTGTCGCGAGCCGAGCCGGCTTGGGCCCCTGGCTAACCAGGTTTAGGTCGGGCCTGTCCCCCTGCAGGGGGATTTTCGACGAAAGCTGGAAGATGTGCCCCCTGCAGGCCCCCCAAGTGCCCCCAAGATAGTCCCAGGATCGTCCCCAGGCCATGTTTGGACCATTTGTGAATCTTCCTCCTGTGGAGGGACAGGCCCGGCTGAAAGCTAGGTGCCCCGCCTCCAGGGGCGGTTCGAGGCAGCGGAGACCAGGGACCCAGGCGCGTGGAGCAGCGACGGGTCCCGCTTCCATGCAGACCCGGCGCGCTCCGTCGCCAAGTGAGGCGGCACTGGCCTCATCTTGCGGGGGGTGCCTTCCCCGATCCGTTGGTCTTGCGCCCGCGCGCCCAGATCCACGGGCATCAGGGCCCATGAGGTTCTGATGTGAATTGCTAGTTGCACCATCCCTCTCCGAGGCGTTGTCTTATCTTATCTGATCCGTAATCCATGTTAGCGTGCGCCAGAATGGCGTCGCCGGTGCACTCCTCACCGTATCGCCCCGCCCGGGGTTGGCGGCCTCTGGCCCGCAGGGGCACCTAGGGGGGAAGGCTTCTGAGCAGCACCCCTGCTTCTGAGCAGGCGCGGGCCGCGTCTATATAGATGCAGGGCCGGCGCTTGCCAAGAAGCAGCCTTCTTCCAAGACGCCTTCCCCCCTTTCCCAGCCCCCCCTGTCCGCGCCGCCAAGTAAATCCGCCGTCAGGGGGCACTAGCGTGCGCCAGCGTCTGGTAATCGCTGAGCAAGCGCCGACTTCGCGTCGATTGGCGTCGATGTAGCGCCGATTGGCGTCGATCAGCGTCGCTTGGCGTCGGTTTGCAAGTGCCGGCAACTCATGGGCCTGTTTTCCACCACCACCACCATAAGTTGGAGGGGGGAAGGAGGAGGAGGAGGAGCAGGAGGAGGAGGAGGAGGAGGAGGAGGAGGAGGAGGAGGAGCAGGAGGAGGAGGAGGAGGAGGAGGAGGAGGAGGAGGAGGAGGAGGAGGAGGAGGAGGAGGACCCCCTCCCCCTCCTACTTGTGGTGGTGGTGGTGGTGGTGGTGGTGGTGGTGGTGGTGGTGTTGGTGGAAGACAGGCCCACCCGCAGCGGTGCGCGCCGCCGGTTGCCGACGCCCCGCAGCCTCCAAGGCGGGTGCCAGGCCGGGCGGCGCCGCGGCGCCGGGGCGGCCGCCTCGGGGGGCGGGCGCTCCGCCGTGCGCTCTCAGGCGCGTCGCGCCGCGGCGCGCTTCGTCGGCTGCCGTCGTCAGCGCCGTCGGCGGCGTGTCCCCCGCCCTCGCAGTCCTCCTCGCCGTCGTCCTCGGCACAGTTGCCGCCCCCCTCCTCGCCCCCGTCCCCGTCGTCGCCGTCCTCCTCTTGACCTTCTCTCCGCGCCTTCGTCGTGCCGCCGCTGCTGCTTCTCCTGCTCCCCTCCGCCTCCGCCGCCGTCGCCCTCCTCCATCCGGCTCCCGCTCCCTTTCCTCCTCCCCTCCCTCATCGTCATCGTCGTCCTCCTACTCCTATCCACGCCCACCCCCTCTCCCCTTCCTCGTCGTCGTCTGGGGTAGGAGGGGGAGCAGGAATTCTAGTAGGAGGGGAAGGAGGGAGAGCAGTTGCAGAAGCAGGAGGGCCAGGAGGATGTGAAGGAGGGGGAGGAAGAGGAACAGGAGGGGCAGCAGGGGGGGGGAGGGGAAGGATGGTGTAAGCAGGGGGAGCAGGAGCAGAAACAGGAAGTCAGACCTACTCTCGTCCCAGGGAAAGGGCGCTGGGCATGACGACGACAGAAGACGACGACGACGACAACGACCACCATGACGACGACGACGACGACGACGACAACGACCACCATGACGACGATGACAGCGACAACGACGAAAGACGACGACGACCACAATGACGCCGACGACGACGACGACGGATGACGACGACGACGACGGAAAACAATGGGCGACAAAAGACGACCTCGCCGAGGACCACGACGACGACGTTCACGGAAGTCGACGGCGATGACGATAACCACGACGACGACGAAGGAAGACGACGACGATGACTCTGACGAAAACGGAAACCTACGACGACGAAGGAAACCGACGATGATGACGACGACGGAAGACGACGACGATAGCGAAGACGACGACGGCGATGACGCTGGCGACGACGACATAGACGACAAGACGACGACGACGACGAAAGACGACGCCGACAGACGACCACGACGGAAGCCGCCGACGACGACGACGACGTCGGCGACGGAAGACGACGACTACGACGACTACGACGACGGCGTCGACGACGACAACGACGACGACGGCGGCGACGACGATTCTGACGACGACGACGGCGACGACGGCGACGACGCCGACGGCACCACCCGACACCCACGGCGGGGCAGCAGTAGGGGTATCTGGAGGGGCAGCAGAAGACGACGTCGACGACTGTTGACGACGACGTCGACGACGACGACAGAAGACGGAAGACGTCATCGAGGACGACGGCGGAAGACGACGACGACGGGAGACGACGACATTTAAGGACGACGGCGACGATGACCATGACGACGACGACGATGGAAGATGACCACGACGACGGAAGACGGTGACAACGACGTGGGAAGACGAGGACGACCACCACCACAACGACGCCGAGGACCACGACGACAGCGACGAAGGAAGACGACGAGGACAGAAGACGACGGTGTCGGAAGACGACGGCGACGACTGTAGAAACAACGACGTTGACGTCGACGGAAGACGGCAACGACGACAACCTCGACAACGACGGACGGCGACGACGACGTAACACCATGACGACGAAAGGCGACGACGAAGGAGGACGAAGACGATTATGACGAATATGACGACGGAGGACGACGATGGCGACGCACAATGACGGCAGCGACGACGAATGAAGACGGCAACGAGGAAAGATGACGTCGGCGACGGAAGACGACGACGACGACGACGTTCACGACGACGACGACGGAAAGCGATGGCGACGACGGAGCACGACGATGGCGATAACGACAACAGAAGACGACGACGACGGAAGACGCCGACGAGGCAAGACGACAGAAGGGGACGAGGACGGAAGACGACGACGACCACGACGACGACGAAAGACGATGTCGATGGACGACGACGGTGACGATGACGACCACGACGATGGCGATGACCACGACGACGGAAGACGACGGAACACGACCACGACGGAAGACGACGACGACGATGACGTCGACGGCGACGACGATTACGACGACGACGACGGCGACGGCGACCACTGGGACGACGAGGACCACGACGGGGGCGACGTCGACGACGACGACGATAGCAGAAGACGGCGACGACGACAGAAGACGTCGACGGAAGACGATGACGACGACGACGACGGAAGGCGACGTCAACGACGACGAACATGGCGACGACGACGACGTCGATGACGAGGACGGCGACGACGACGACGACGACGACGGCATCACCCCACACCCAAAGGGAGGGGCAGCGTGTGGAGCAGCAGGAGAGTGGGGCATGACGACGACGGAGGACGACGACGAAGGACGACCACGTCGACCACGTTGACGACGACGACGGCAGACGTGAACGTCGACGACGATGATGGAAGACGGCGACGACGGAAGAGGACGAAGATGGGAGACTATTACGACGGAGTTCGACTACGACGACCACCGAAGACGACGACGATGACGACGATCACGATGGAAGACGACCACGCCGCAGAAGGACGGCGGCGACGACGACGAAACACGACGACGACGACCACCACAGCGACGCCGAGGACCACGACGACAACGACGACGGAAGACGACGACGACGGAAGACGAAGACGAACGACGACGACCGCGATACATCCCCATGCCGAAAGTTTTTTCCTCTTGCATGGGAACGCATGGATCCATTTGGATTCAATTACGTGTGTGCGAGAGTGACGTGGATCCAATTTCCGCGTCTTCTGGATCCATTTTTTTTGCGTGGGTTACTCGTGGATCCAATTCTTTTGCTGGATTGAGTTTATAATAATAGGTAATACAATGGACCCAAGGGAAATGGATCCACGGAGCCGTGGACCTGCAGCCCAAGCTATGATTCTACGGGGGAGGGGTTTCCCTACCGAGAGGCACAACACACGGGGACGAGTAGGGAAACACAACCCAGGGGCGGGCGAAGAGGAAGGTGAGGGAGGAAGGACGGGCCTGGCCACCTCTCCGAACCCTTCCCATAACATGTCGTTGCTCGAGCGCCACAGCTGCCCCAGCCAACTCCCGGAGCCTCGATAACATGTGGGTGCTCGAGCGCCACAGCCTGCCTGGCCAACTCCCGCAGCGCAGCCTCCAATAACATATGCCGCACCCCACCTCGACGCGAGCGCGATATGATCGCTGCGTCCGCATCCGCTGAAGTCAACGACGCTTCGAATTTGTCATGTGGGCCTCAAGAGGCAAATCTGTCGGCCTGCTCAAGTAGTAAAAAGCGACGGCAGAAGACGACGTGGACGACGACGACGACGACATCGACCACAGACGACCACGACGACGACGACGGAAGACGACGACGACAGACGACCACGATGGACGACGATGACGACGAGGACGACGTCGACAACGGAAGACGACGGTTACGACGACGACGGAAGTTGACGATGACGACGGAGAAGGATGACGTTGACGGGCGACGACGTTGACGACAACAGCGACGACGGAAGACGACGACGACGATTGAAGATGATGACGACGACGACGACGGAAACGGACGAAAACGACCGAACGACGACGACGGACGATGACGATGACGGAAGAAGGCGTCGACTCCGGAAAACGACGACGACCACGGAAGACGATGTCGACCACTACGACGATGACTACAACGACAGAGAAAGACGCTGACGTCGGTCACGACGTCGACGGCGTCGGACAACGACGACAAGGAGGACGCAGCGCGACGACGACCACCACAACGACAGAAGACGACGACGTTGGAAGACGACGACGGCAGAAGACAACAAGAGAGGACGACGATCGAAGACGACAACCACGACGACGACCACGACGACAGAAGCCCACGACGATAATGACCATGATGAGAACGATGGCTTCCACGACGACGGACGACGACGACGGCTACGGACGATCACGGCGACCACGACAAGCGGAAGACGGCGACGACGTCGACGACATTCACGACGACGGCGACAACATGCGACTATGATGACGGAATACGACGACGACGGAAGACGACGACGACGCCAGACGACGATGACGACGGAAGACGACAGACGTGGAGGACTACAGAAGACGACGACGGCCACGACGACGACGACGAAATACGAGGACGACGGAAGGCGACGACGGTGACGACGACGACGACGGCCACGACGACGACGACGACGGCACCACCCCACACCCATGGGGAGGGGGAGTGGGCACTGGCACGCCGCACCCCCTTTTCGCCCGCAGGGGGGAGGGGGGGGGGTTCCACCACCCCGCGCCCGTAGGGGTAGGGTGAAATCGGGCCTGTCCCTCTACAGGAGAACTTTAATCAAAAGATAGGATGGGGACGATTTTTCGACCAGTTTTGATTTCGGGGTATCTTTTGAACATCGTTCTGCACTTTTCATAACGAATCCGCCTGCGGGGGGACATGCCCGCCCCAAGGGTAGGGGGGGGCGACCCCTCGCGCGGGGGGCGGGATCCCGAAGGTCCTTCGGAAGGGAGGAGCGGGGCCGGAGCCTTGGATCCTTTTTCCCCGCCCCGCGCGGCGCCAGGCACCGCCACGCGGGGCTGGCCAGGCACCTGCAGGCGGGGCGGTGCCTCGCTCTCCCGCCGCTCCGCCTTCCCTCCTCCTGCGCCCCCCTTGCGATCTCCTCCTCCTCCTCCTCCTTTTCCTTCCTCCTGCCTCCTCCGCCGTCCTTCCTCCGACGTCCTCCTCCTCCTCCTCCTTCCTCCTCCTTTTTCCTCCTTTTCTTCGCCCTCCTTCTCCAACTCCTCCTCGTTTTCCTTCCCCTTCTCCTCCTCCTCCGTTCTCTGTTCCGTAGCCGTGTGGACTCGAGATCAAATCCGCGGGACCTCGGCGGCTTGAGCTTGGTCGTAGCCGTGAGGTCTGGGTCGAGGCAGCCTGCCTTCAGGACACTCACGCAGCACGCGATCCTGACACGAGAGTTTCCTGACCTGCCCGTGTGAGCTCCGTCATATCGCGGCATGTTGAAGCAGCAGCCATGTCGACGGGTGAGGAGATCATGGTCTTGTTGCGTGCGATGCAAAGTGAACACGCGAATGGTAAGAAGGTAATCGACGAACTGATCTGCAAAACCGATGTCACGGTAGCTCATCGCTGTCTGTTGGAACCTCAGGTGTGATGCAGGTGGACGCGCAGGCTTCAGACTTTGGTCAGAAGCTCGGCCGCAAGCCGGGGGAGTCATACCCAGAACGAGACTGGCTCGGACGACGCCTGTGCTGCCAATTGGCATTGGGCAGGAACAACAGCGTCGGGGTGTTTTTGTTTGGATCGGGCGCTTCGTCGTCAGTTGGAGGCTCAGTGGAGATGGTGCTGGCTGCCCGCCTCCGCAAGACTCGGCAAACCTTAAGTTGGGCCTGTTCCTCTACAGGGGGAGTGTCCCAAAATAGTTTAAAATAGTGCGGGGGCCATGTGTTTGAGCAAGTTTTGAATCAGTTTGCGTATTTTGGGGTATTTTTGATTTTTCGTCCAAAATCCCCCTGCAGGGGGACATGCCCGACCTGAGTCTCATCCACGCCGCAGGTAGATTGGAATTACCCGAGGAACGTCCTTGACCTCACGCGCCGTGCCATATGGGACAGTATGGTCGCTCGTTTCCCAGAGAACCGGCCAGACAAACATATGTATCGGCCCTCTTTCATAGATCGTCGCGGAGCTTCTCGTCTGTGTGGTCTATTGAACAGCAGGCAAAGGACTCCACAACATGGGTTGGCACTGCAGGAAGGGAGTGGGGAGACCCGCGCAAGCCGATCGGGCATCCACAGCTGACTACCATGCTGCGCTATCGTGGAGGTCTCCCGCGCGAAGTCCGTGTGAGACAGCGACACCTGGGTCCGATGATCAAGATGCTGAAATAAGATCCGTGTTGGAGTGCGGAGTGTAGATTGGGCTGTTCTTCTCCAACTCGATGACGTTCTGGCGGCGCGCGACGATATCTATGACCTCATCAAGATCGGCGTCTCGGGCTAGGCTATGTGGGTCAAACACAATTGCGAGGCGAAGGTCGCACCCGTCCTCGCGTTGCAGCACGTGGTCTGACAGGCTCCTGCAAGGAATGGAGCCATAGGCTCGTCTCCTTTTGCTCTGCCTTCTGTCCCTCCTCCCCACTCGTCGCTATTCTTGCCTTTGTGCCGCCTGTCTGTCTGCGCGTGCAACGCTGCCACCTCCTATCGGCGCGGTTGGTGGGACTCGCGCGCTTCGCGCGAGACGCCATAGCGCGTATCTTGGACTTGTTGAGAAATTCGACGCTCACTTAATTCAAAGAGCGCGCGGACGCGCAGGGGATCTTAGCGCCCTCCCTCGTCTCCTCCCTCAATGTCGTTGCGTTGGCTCGTTCTGTGATGATGGGTTCAGTGATTGCGTTCCCGCGTGCGCCGCGAACGTTTGCGCGTGCTTTTCGGCGCGCGCAGTTTAATGGGTATATGGAAGGATCGATGCCCCTCTTTGGAAATTAGAGGTCCCCTGGGCCCCCTCGCTCACTGGCATGACCGCGTTCGCGGAGGAGTACTTGGCCAAGGTTGCTCGCGTGCTCGATCCATTTCGCTCGATTGCGATTGCCGCGAGCGGTTGGAATTTCTGTGCTTCGGGGGCAGCTCGCCGGCACATCGACCCTGATCTTGATCGCGCGCCGCCGGGCTCGTCGGCTGCAGGGCGCGGTGGGCTTGCCCCTTGCTGCGCGGGGCTATCTCTGGAAGGTCACGCCCGCTATGCGCGGCGCGGTGGTAACCTACTTGGCGCTGCGCGTCTTGATCGTATTTGCTTTAGTTGCCCCCAAGTCATAGTGGATTTGGAGCCGGCGGCGGGGGCTGCGCGGTTGCCAGCGGGCGTGCGAGGTGCCGGCGGCCGCGATCCCACGTGCGCCTGCCTCTCTTCGCCCGCGCTCTATGCCGTGCCCGCTTTCCCCGCCTGGCCGGCACGCTCGCCTGATTCTGGCCGAGGAGTGGAAGGGGCTCTGGAGGGGCGCGCCTTGTCTGGTGACCCTGCCATCGGGGTGCCAGAAGTGAACCCCGTAATGCGCATTGTCGCCGTCGATTTGAGCATGGGCACGTGCGAGTCTAAGTGCGTTGGACATGAGATTGCCCGGCGCGCGCGCGCGTGGCCGCGCCCGTCGCGGGCAGGAGGGCCAGTGGGTGAAAATGCCGGGTCGCCGCTTTTCGCGCCAGTCTGATTTCGCAGATGAATGCGCGAACCGCCAACCGCTTGCACCTGTTCGTTGCCGCGCCCAGCAGCTTGGAGTTAGAGGGCGAGCCGAGCTCGTTCGCGATGCCGCGACGTCTCCGAAGGCAAGGGCCCCGGGGCTTGCCGACGCCGACTGGCCGTCTCGGGCGCGGGCCCCCCGTCGCGTGCGAGTGGCGCTCCGGGGCTTTGTGGGCCACTCGGGTTTTTCCCCGTGCCGACCCCGCTCAGCGCGCTGGTCTCCTGCAGGACTACCGGGCTACAGTTGCCGGACTTCTTGGCGCTCGCATTCAGGACATGGGGCCCTGCGCCCTCTTGATCCAGATAACCCCGTCGGGGCGCCGCGTGGAACTCGGGCCCCGAGCAGTTCGGCAAACTGCTGGGCCGGGTGAACGGTTTTAGTCCTGGTCTAGATCGCGTCTCTTAATCAGGCTGGAAATGTGGTGGTCCTACGATTAGACTGGCGCCTTGCAGTCGCTGCTCGCGCATTATTTGCGCTGGAGAAGTGCCGCCTGGATGCAATATTGTCTTCTTCGCGTTACTGCCAAAAGGTGCGCTGGAGGCGGGCCCTCTTCGGTGGGCCCCTGGCGCTCGCCATCTCGCGCCTGTCGGCGGCGATCGCAAGTTGACCTGCGGCGCGCTTGCCCTGCCGCTTAATCATCTGACCAGAAGCGCGGTTGATGAAGATCAGTGTGGGTATGTGGGGGGCGGCTTGCCCGTGGGCAGAGCGCTCGCTCTGGATGGTGGGCGCGCGCAGTGCGTCGCATGTGAATCCGCCCCTTCCCCGTGCACTTCGCGCAGCTGGATGTCTTGTGCATTGTGCCATGGGGATTCCTGAGTGGTGCCGTTCTATAGTAATGAGTACCCGCGCGAACGCGCACATGCATGTTTTTATCGAAGCTTTTCGATACATATATAGATATGTTTATGGGAAGTTCCTGTTATCCCAGGGGATCAAGCATGGCCCCCCCCTCTCTCGGGTCGTCTCTTTGGGCTGGCTCCGTTGGGCCAGCGCAGGCACAGGTACGAGCGCTTCGCGCTCGTGCCTGTGCCTGCGCAGGCGAAATTGGCATGGTTGCCTGCGACTTAGCGAGAGCGCATAAAACAATGTCTGCTCACTTCGTCCGCCGCGCTCGAGCAGCTGGTCTTTTCTAGCGCGTCGAGAAGTGCCGGTTCGCCCTGCCGCCCGAGGCTGCGGGGAACATCTTCCGCTGGCGCTGCGTGGCTGAGGGGCTGCAACTTGCAGGGTGCAAGGTTGGTTGTCTTGTCTTTCCCCATCGGTGTGTCCTGGGCCATCGGGGTGCGCGCGCGTCCAGGGGTGCCCTGCTCCAGTCGCTCCAGGTGCGTCAAATCCCGGCGCTTCGGGCCCGCGCGAAACCCTCGCGTGGATGGCATCTACTGCCGGCCTGTCGCCCAGCACGTGGCCCAGCTGTTCGCCGCGAGCAACGCATGTATCTCCGTCGAGCGTGAAGCCCTGCAGCAGTTACTCTGCGCCGAGGCGCTCTCATGCTTGTGCCGCGCTCTTGTGTCTGGGCTCGCTCGGGATCAGTAGGTTTGCTCGTGGCCCCTGTCATCGCGCCTGGGCTGCTAAATATCGCGCTGCGCTTAGATTTGATGAATTTGTCAGTTTCGGTAGCCCATGCCACGAATTAAGATGTTATGATGGTTGTGCTTTATTTGACATGCTGTCTCCTGCGTCTACGTCGTCCGCCTCCATCAGCATGCTCACTAACTTTGATGCATGCGTATCTGTCCCGTCAATCCTTTCCTCGCTGTGTCCTGGACGTCCAGATATACTCGCCCGAGTCCTAGTTCGTCTCTTCCCTCCTCCCTCCACTGCCTATTCCTTCAGTGCTCGTCTGACTTGTTGAGCTACTGTGGTCCCATTCTAGGCTGACCTGGTCCGGTTCAGGCGTGCTAATTTCGGTCGCAGGTTCGGCTCATGAACCGTTGGTTTTGACAGCCACGGCCAATGTTTGGGCCGCTTTTTCGCCCTTTTCGGAATGGCCGACAGAGGTGTAGAATTGGATGTGATGCTGTAGGCGGTGATGAGGTCCTCCCCGTTACATGGTGTGCCCGTGCATCTTCCCCCTTTGGCCTCCCTCCTCCCTGCCTGCCCTTCCTGTCGTTTTGGGCGATGGCCCGTGCTCCGTATCTGTTCTGTCTCCCGTGAAGGCAGCGGATCACGCGCCCGTCTCGCGCTCGATGGGGCGCATGCAGCTTTCACGCGGCAGCGTGCGAAAAAGGGTCGACCGGACCGCGCGCGGGAGGCCGCGCTTTCCGTGCCCGCTGCAGAGCCCAGGCCGTCCGCTGCCAAGGGGCCCGCGGTCTTCTTGCGATCCGTGCATGTGACGTGGGCGAGGACTTCTTCGTGGAGGCCTGGGATTTATCTCCTGTCCTATCGGCCTCGTTCTTGTCCGCTTCGCCCCCCCTCCTTCACAAGTCGGGTCATGGCTCATCCTCCGTCCTTTGTCCTCCTCCTCTTCCTCGTTTTCCTCCTCCTCCTCCTCCTCCTCCTCCTCCTCCTCCTCCTCCTCCTCCTCCTCCTCCTCCCCCCTCCTTCTCATACCCTCTTTGCGATGCATGTTTTTGGAGACGTCGCGCTCGTATGCAATGTCGTCGCTGGCGGCTATTCTTCCTCCTATTCTTACAACCCTCCTCCTGTCCTCCTCCCTTCCTCCTCCTCCTCCTCCTCCTCTTCCTCCTGCTGCCCACTCCTCCTTAAACTTTTAGCGTCTCGAGCAACATTAGGACCTTGTTTTTTCCTCCCCGATTTCGGCTATCGCTCCTCCTCTTCATTGTCCTCCTCATGCTTCTCCTCAGACTGCAAGAACTTGCGCATATTTAATCGCTTCGCTCATTCCGCCGGCCCATATTGTCGCACCGTTGTGGGCTAGCCGAGTTTTGGGGGCCGTTTTGGGGCCTCTTGGGGCCTCTTTTGGGCCTCTTGGGCGCCTCTTGGGGCGTCTTGGGGGCCTCTTGGGGGCCTCTTGGGGCCTTTTTGGGGCCTCCTGGGCGCCTTCTGGGGCGGAGGGCTCGATTTTTCAGTTCTCGGTTCCCCTCTTGAGCCCCTCTTGGGCCCGTCTTGGGGCCTCTTGGTCCGTCTTGGGCGGCACTTGGGCCGTCTTGGGGGCCCTCCTGGGCCGTTCCGGGGCCGTCTTGGGAGCCTCGTGGGCCGTCTTGGAGCGGTCTTGGGGGCCTCTTGGGCCGTCTTGGAGCGTCCGGAAGCCGAAAAAGCCAGAACACAAAAAACATCGAAAAAAACAATGAAAATCAACGATTTTGGCCTCTTGGGGCTCTCTTCGGAGGCCTCTTGGAAGGCTCTTGGGGCGTCTTGGAGGCCTCTTGGGCTGTCTTGGGGGCCTTTTGGGCCGTCTTGGGGTCATCTTCGGCGTCTTCGAGCGCTCTTTGGGCGTCTCGGGGGCCTCTTGGGCAGTCTTGGGGGCCTCTTGGGGCACTCTTGGCGCGCTCAGGGCGGCCTGAGAGGCCGCACCCAGAAGGAAAACCATCTCTGAGTTGAACCGGGCGGGACCTTGCCAGGCGGCGGGCGGGGTACTTTTCGCCGGGGGACCCCCAGGGGCCGCCCCGCGCGCGCGAACTAGTACAATACAATTGTTAACCAGTTACCGGAGATCTTAGCACGCCTCTGGCCCGTTGGGCCGGCGAATTTAGGGGGGTTGTATTCCGACCTCTGGAGTCTGGCTTCGCCCCCCCAAGCCGTCAACCAAAACGGAGAAAAAGGGTTGGGATGTGAAACCGGTGTCGGGGAAGGGGCCGAGAGGATTAAGGCCAAGAGGGTCGAACATGTCAAGTAATCAGCGGTCTGGGTCTTCCTCCTTCTAATACGCCCAGCGTCGCGAACAATCCACCGCAGCAAGTTTATCGCGATTGAGACATCCGTTTTCGGTCCCAGGGATTAGAACGACTGGTATGGCGGGGATGGGGGTCGAGCGCTCCAGGAGCCCTGGTCGCGCTCTGCTTTCCTTCCTCGTCTCGGCGGTCGACATTCTGTCCACTGGGCGGCAGCGGGGATGGGGCATGCACAGGCCCCTAACTTTCCAAGGGTTCGATCCCGTGCTCATGCCGGCCAGCCCCAGCCCACCGCAGAGCCGTGGCGAGAGCAAGGGCGTGGGCAGGAGGCTGGTCGCTCTGGGCCCCCTGCCTTCCGTCCGCGTCGTGCTGCCTGCTGCAGGTGGCCAGGCCTTCTGCAGGAGGAGGAGGAGGACGAGGACGAGGAGGAGGAGGAGGAGGAGGAGGAGGAGGAGGAGGAGGAGGAGGACGAGGACGAGGACGAGGAGGAGGAGAGGAGGAGGAGGGAGGAGAGGGAGGAGGAGAGGAGGAGGAGGAGGAGGAGGAGGAGGAGGAGGAGGAGAGGAGGAGGAGGAGGACGAGGAGGAGGGGAGGACGGAGGAGGAGGAGGAGGAGGAGGAGGAGGGAGAGGAGGAGGAGGAGGAGGCGCCTGGAGCACGCCACCAGCGGGACGGCTGGCTCTCCCCGCTCTGTGCCCTTCGGAGGCCCTGCTCTGCAACTCCCCGGGGCCTCGCAGGAGAGGCGGCTCCGTGGCGCAAGCTCCAGACGAATTCCCCAGATACTTCGGGGGCGGAGAAGAGGAGGGGGATGACTAGGGGGGGGAAGGAGGAGGAGGAGGAGGAGGAGGAGGAGGAGGAGGAGGAGGAGGAGGAGGAGGAGGAGGAGGAGGAGGAGGGAGGAGGAGGGGGAGGGGGGGGGATGACTGGGGGGGGGTGGATATCATGGCGGGGGCCATGAGATTTCCCCAGATTTCACGGCGCCTCTTCTTATTCCATTACGTCCTTGGCCCCCCCGCTGGGCCGCGCACGTGCCGCTGGTCATGATTTGCACCCCCCCCTCTTGGACACCCCCCTCTTGGCCGCTCCCGAATATTCGAACACATAGACATTCGGTTTCCTGCGCGTTGTTGGCTCCAGGAGTGCGGCTCCAGGCTGGGGATCGTCAGGGGATGCAGAACTGGTCCCAGAAAAGGCAGTCGAGAGGACTGGCCAGGAGGCTCGAGAGTACCGAGTCGTCGGAGGTGTGGATCTGGGCAGACAATGGGGGCGTCTCCAGCGAAACGCTGGTTTGGGCACCCCTGACTCCTACCCCTCCCCTCGCAGCCTTATGCCCAGTGCAATGGAGCAGGCAGGCCTCACGAGCACCTCACGGGCTCGTTCGCGCCCAGATTGTGGGGGGTCGTCTGCAGCGGAACGCTTGTTCTGGCACTCCCGACGGGGTGTGGCGCAGGCCAGATGGGGTCAGCGGCTTCAGGGTCCCACGTGGTGGAGCAAAAGCGGGCGTCGGAGATACCTTGGGCCTCCAAAGTGCGGTCAGGAGCCTTGGCTTGGCGCACTGCGCCGCCGCCAGCTCTGAGCCTGCCGCCGCACAGTGACCACGATGCACGCCACCGCTCGCAGGACGGTGCGCCTGCGTGGCTGGACGCTTCATCTGCACGGCGCTTGAGGCAGCTCGCTGGCTGCACGCCTGCGTCGCCGGAGTGCGTCGTCGTGCCGATGTGCCCGCTCCCCCGCCTCTCCCTCCCAACCAAAACAGATCCACAAGGTTTCTCCCAGCCTCCCGCATCACCGAGCGGAGCGACACGCCATCCGCTTGCAGGGCACTGCGTGAGCCGCTGGGGCCGTCGCCGTGACGCGCTCTAAGGAGGAGGCGGAGGAGGAGGAGGCGGAGGAGGAGGAGACGGAGGAGGAGGAGGAGGAGGCGGAGGAGGAGGAGGAGGAGGAGGAGGAGGAGGCCCGGCCGTCCGCAGGCGAGGCGGTGCGCCGCGGGCGCGAGGCTGTACCGGGGCGTGCTGTCCACGGAGTACAGCCCGCAGCTGGAGTTTAGGCGCGGCGACGAGAACCCCTTCGGCGTCTTCCAGCTGATGGGCCCGGACGGTGTGCTGCGGGAAGGAGCAGCGGGGAGAAAGTGCCGAACCAATGCCGACGCGGCGGCGACGACGACGACGACGACGACGACGACGACGACGACGACGACGTCGAGCTTTTTTTTTGTTGTTTGGTACCAGCGTGTCGGGAAGTTCGTGTTACCACGGCCTCGCGCAGGTCGAACAGCTGCCATGATGGGCTCTGGAAGGGATTAGGGAGCAGATTTTGAGTGGCATTTGAGGCGTGGGCGGACCTACGGATCCAGGTGCCCTACCGTCGTTCTCGCCTGTTTGAGCCTCCTGGAGGGCCGTCACCGCCGCGTCTGGATTCGCTTCGGACTCTTGGCCGGAGTGCACCTGGGGAGAGGTCCAGGCAGCGATGCTGGCATCCTCCTGCGCCCCCAAGAGGAGCCAGCCTGCCGTTCTCGCTCGAGGAGGGGGTGCGCATGTACGAGGTCATGCTGCGCTCGGCGGTGTACGACCAGTTCCTCCTGACGATGCAGCGGCAGGGCCGGATCAGCTTCTACTGCGCGAACTTCGGGGAGGAGGCGACGGGCGTGGGCACCTGTGCAGCGCTGTCGCCAGAGGACCTGATCTGGCCCCAGTACCGGGAGTTCAGCGCGTTCCTGTGGCGCGGCCTGACGCCGCAGGCCATCGTCGACCAGAACATAGGGAACGAGGGTGACACCAGCAAGGGCAGAAACCTGCCCGTCCACTACTGCATGCTGGACACGGGGGGGCAAGAAAAAGCGCGCATCTCATCGCCATTCAGAGTTGCATGCATATCCAGAATTGTTTGGCGATTGATTTCGGTTGCATGGCAGAAAACCGAATCCAGCGGATATGTGATAACGGGTTCTTGAAGGGATGCAGCGAAGAATTAGTCGAAGATTTTCCAGCGCTCCGCTCCCTCACGTTATTAGGATTAGTTCTGCGGTTACAGTCTGGAAGCTCCAAACGAATCAGTAATGCGCTGGAGGTCCAGGAACCTCCAGTCTCGCAGGCCTAGGAAGGTTGACACCAACACCATCATCGGTGGTGTGCCTCCACCGAGGGAAGAAGATCCCGATCTCGGTGATGGTGGTAATGACTCTGGCTTCCAAGGTGGCCGAAATATTGCCACCAACACCGAAATCTAGGATCATCTTCCCCCTGCCCAGACCCCCGACGTCATGCTTTTTTCAGTACGTCGATCCTTGGAGGTCTCGACCCATTCCCCTGGACCGGTTCTTCATCCTGCGTCGCTTCCTTGACGGTCTCGAGGGCCGGCAAGGGCCCCCAGAGGCCGAAAATAGCAAAACACCTCCCGTCATGGTCTTTTCCATTACCCGAAGGGGTCTGAGTGTGGAGGCCCCCCCCCCTGGTGTCTGTGTTGGTGCCCCTCCTTCCAGGCCTCCGACGGGCCCTCGGCCGGGTGCGCCCGGCCGGCGGCGCGCCACTGGCGGCGGCCACTCCGCGTCCGGCGCCTCCGCGGCGGCCCCGCGGCGGCGGGCGCCTCCGCGGCGCCGGTCGGCCGGCGCTGTAGGTCGGGCACGGCCTCCTCTAGAGGCGGATTTTCGGAAGAAACATTGAAACATAGCCAGGGATCTGCAAATTTGGCCAAACAGCGCCACAACAAACATAGCGAAACCTATCCCAAAGGGGTCAGGACTTGTGAAAGGATTCCCCCCAGACTATTCTTCTACTGTCTTGGAATGTTCCTCCCCTGTAGAGGGGCACGCCCGTCTCAAGCCTGGCTGGGCCCCCCATCTTGCGCAGAGGCGCGGGGCCCCTTCGGCACCCGACCGCCGGGCGAGCACAGGCCCTCCGCCCGCGCGCGGCTTCTCCGCCCGGGGCGGCGGCTTCCAGGCGGCCGCGTGCCCAGACCCCCTCGGGTCATGACAAAATCGGGAGGGGGAAAAACACACAGAGACAATTAATCGTCGACTCCCCAGAAAAGATGGGAAACTATGGGAAGTGGGGGGGAAGACGAAAACCCAGAAAACGTTTGAAAATATGGTGAATCCTGTTATTCGTATGTATTTATTTGTGTGCCCCAGGACCCCTTGAAAAAATCACGACGGGATTTTTTTCGCTATTTTCGGCCTCCGGGGACCCTTACTGGCCCTCAGGACCGTCAAACAACGGCTCCTTCTTTTTCATAAAAAGGAATAGAATAGCAAAAAGACTCGGGCAAGTTTGCTTGCATGGCGTTCGCCTCCCCCCCCCTCGCCCCTCTTCGAACGAATACTAGCGTGCATGGGCCTTTGAACTTGCGTGCTTTCCGCAAGCGCAAGTCGTTTGCGGCTTGCTGGTTCAGGCCCAGGCCCCCCCCCCCCCAAGTAGACTTGCCGGAGTCTGAAAAAGGAGGTTCCTCGCCGCAGAGCGCTCCAGAAAACGCTCTCAGGGCCCGCCCTCTCTATCGGAGGTCCCGAGTCATCCCCTGCCTCCTGCCCGATGTCGCCTCTGCCCTGCCCGAGCTTATGCCAATTTCCCTGGCCCCCTGCATCAGGGGCAGCACTGGTGGGGGACATGCCCACGGGGGATGCATCGACCCCCCATCGCCCTGTCATCGCCGAGAGGGGGCCGCAAGCCCGCTCTGCCCAGAAGTTCAGAGGCGTGCGGATTCGCTGTCGGGGCATGTCGCCGAACTGTCGGCGATGCATCGCTGGTTCCAGGCCGATGTTCCCCTCCCCTGAACTGCAGGACAAGAACATGCAGACCGTTCACGCGGTGCTCGGGACCCAGGTGCCGCAGGCGCCCGGGGCAGGCTACGCTTTTAAGCTCGGCAAGGAGGACCGAGTGTCTGTGGCCTACTTTGGCGACGGCGCGGCATCGGAGGCGCGGGGGAGTTGAGGAAGACTGAGACCAGCAGAGAGGTGAGCTTTCCTGTCATGTTTTCTTGATGCGTTGGTTCAATGCTTCCATGAAGCACTCGGATGCTCTTGGAGACTTCCGGAGAAGGCTCAGGATGATGAAGTTGGGGGGCGAACGCTACATCCACCTGCCCTTGAGGAAAAGAAGCGATGACGAACCGTCGGCGCTCATCTGGGTCATCGTCCATCTAGGTCTTCGCCAATGACGAATGATGCGCCTGCAAGACGGGGCAGACGATGATGTGCAGACAAAGGAACACCGGCTCGGCCAGGGCAACTCGTTAAAACTCGGCTCGATCAGGGCATGTAGTTGCAGGCAAGGTGTGATCTTCGGACTGCTATGCCCTACATGGTCAAATGGTCCTCCTCCTCCTCCCCCTCCTCTGGAGCCTTCCAGAGTTCTCTGGAGGCCCCCCCAGGCCCAAATCAGGCCAACAACTGCCAACACAAACTCGATCCCCCCTCCTCGACCCCTCCTCCTCCTCCTCCTCCTCCTCCTCCTCCTCCTCCTCCTCCTCCTCCTCCTCCTGCTCGCCCTCCTCATCTTCCTCCTCCCCCTACCCCTCCTCCCTCTATTCACCTGCTCCCCCCGAGGGAGACGCGCTAACGGCCCTGAACTTCGCGTCGGTCTACGGCTCGCAGACCCTGTTCATCTGCCGCAACAACGGCGCCGCGGCGGCAGACCCCTCGTCGCACCCGCTGGTCCAGCCATCCCCCTCCCGCCGCCCCGCCCTGTTCCTTCGTCGACTAGATGTAGGAGTGACCTTTCGCTGGAGTGACCTTTGGTGCGGGCCCGATGGGGCCCCGCAGTCGCCGAGCGCGCTGCGGTAGTAGCGTCTTGCGTGCTCGTGCTTGGTCCCCCCGCGGCCCTCAAAGATCCGCGCACCAAAGGTCACTCTTATCGGATGCCTAGAGATTGACACCAACACCGATATCGGCGGTGTGCTCTCACCGAAGGAAGATGATCCCGATCTCGGTGATGGTGGTAATACTCGGGCTTCCTCGGTGGCCGAAAGATTACCACCAATGCCACAGTCCAGGATCATCTTCCTCCCGTGGAGGCGAACCCTGGTGTTGGTGTCGGTGCCAACTTCCAAGCGTCCAATTTTGCCCAGGGCCACTCTTGCGTGTTGTCGACTTCGTGGGGGCGAGGGCCTCCTCTCGCCGTCCCGCCCTCTCTCTCTCTCTCTTCCCCGGCGGGCGAGCGAGGGCGGTCCGCGGGCGCGCGGCCGTTTCTGTCCCGCCGTGGGTTTTTTCCCGAGAGGGATGGGCCCGCTTTTCACCACCACTGCCATACAGTGGAGGCCCATGCCAAGAAGCGCCCTGCTTGCCTCCAGGGTGTCCTGGGTGTCTTGGGGCTCGAGGCTTTCGCCATGGAGCGCGCGACGTGCCCACGCCAAAAACCAGTGGGCGTCCTGGGGTCTCAGGGTTGGGTTTCTTGTGGAAGGTTCCTTGTGGTCTACTGCACGAGGCGTTCTAGAAAAGGCCTTGCCTTCGAGGGTCGAGGGAGTTGTCATCTCTTCCGCCGCGGAAGACGGCGGAAGGGCGGCGGAAGGTCGGCGGGAGTCAAACAAGGCCGCCTCTGCCGGCGGAAGGCTGGCGGAAGGCGGCGGAAGTAAAAAAGACGCCTCCAAGAGACGAACACGTTTTTGGTTTCGGGGTTTCCGAAATCCGCCATGTGTAGGACGGGGGAGAAAAGGGAGGATGGGGAGGTCCTCCTCCTCCTCCTCCTCCTCCTCCTCCTCCTCCTCCTCCCACTCCTCTTCCTCCTCCTCCTCCTCCTCCTCCTCCTCCTCCTCCTCCTCCTCCTCCTCCTCCTCCTCCTCCTCCTCCTCCCTCCCTCTCCTACCTGTGGTAGGGGTGGTGGTGGGAAATCGGCCCATCGCGGGCTTCTCCTGGGCCTGGGCCTCCCCAGAGCTTCCCAAGACTTCCCATGGACCTCCCCAGGCACTGCGGAGGCCCCTCCACGGCCCACGGAGATGATTCTCCCCCCCAGACCTTAGATCTTCCCTCCTGGAACCCACCGCGCAGCGACAGCCCTGCGCGCCAAGTGGCAGAGCGAGGGAAGAGGGGAGAATCGCCCTCCCTCCAGACCTTCCCAGTCATTGGGGCGTCTCGAACAAAAATCGGCACGGAGGTTTTTCGCAGGTTTTGGCCTCGCAGGGCCCTCGACGGGCCTCGGGGCCGTCAAGGAACGACTCGGGATGAAGATTCGGTCCCGGGGAAGTGGTCGTGAGGAGGTCTGAGGCCCGCGTCTCGAACAGATCGAGACGTCGGATGTCCGGGGTTGGTGGCTCGACAGCAGCGCTCGCCAGAACCAGTCGCCAGCCCTGGCGTCGGCGAGCCGGCGGCCCCCGGGTCCCGGGGCCGTCAGGACGCATCCCGGAGCGGGAAACAGCTGGCCCAGGGGGTGCGGAGGCTGGTGGCCCCCCTCCCTCGCCTCGCCCCTCCCTCCGGCCCTCCCCTCCTCCCCTCCCTCGCCTCGTCCACCACCAGGAAGAACTTCGAGCGTCCCAAAAAAGTGCCGAGAAACTCAAGGGTTTGCACGTGCCGGGCCCTGGGGGGAGACCACTTGCCCGACACTGTGTCTCGACACGCTTTCGGCACTCTTTTGGCACTTTTTCGGGTGCTCGAACTTACTTCTGGGATGTGGTCCTGAAGTAGGACGGGCACAACATAGGCCTCGGCCCACCCATCGTGGTGGGCCTGGAGAGACCCCCACATCGCGGGCGCCGGCCCCCAGCGTGCCTCGGCCCACCCATCGTGGGCGACTTCCCCTGGCCTGGCTCCTCGCGCTGGCGGTGGCGGCGTCGCACGTCCCCCTACAGGAGGACAAGAATAGTCCAAGAAGAGTTCGGTGACCATTTTTGGGAGCATCTTTTGGCTATAGTTCGCCCGCGGCCCCCCCAGCCTGCCTCGGCCCACCCATCATGGGCAACGTCTCCTGGCTCCTCGCGCTGGCGGTGGTGGAGTCGCACGTATCTTTACAGGAGGAATCTATTAAAAAATAGTCCAAGAAGAGCTCGGGGACAGTCTTTCAAGCATTTTTGGGCTATAGTTTGCCCGCGGCCCCCCAGCGTGCTTCGGCCCACCTATCATGGGCAACGTCTCCTGGCTCCTCGCGCTGGCGGTGGTGTTGTCGCACGTCTCTCTACAGGAGGAATCTATTAAAAAATAGTCCAAGAAGAGCTCGGGGACAGTCTTTTCAGCACGCTTGGGCTATAGTTTGCCCGCGGCCCCCCAGCGTGCCTCGGCCCACCCGTCGTGGGCGACGTCCCCTGGCTCCTCGCGCTGGCGGTGGCGGCGTCGCACGTCTCTTCGCTCCCGAGAGGAGCCGCCCTCCGCCCGCGCACCCAGCGCGAGCCGCCCCGGGGGCGGCCCGCGCGCAGATCGCTGGACTTGCCGGACCACGACACGGAACGCGTGGCACACGACGCACCGCTGCAGAGTTTCCGCTCGGGTGCAGCGTTTCCGATGCTTCGGGCCCGCGGCGCACGATGGACATTCGAATTCATGTCCTCCGAGTGGAAGCCAGAAGTGCCTCCGGCCCGCGGGTGCCCGATGGACACTCATGCCCTCCGAGTGGAAGCCCGAAGTGCCTCCGGCCCGCGGGTGCCCGATGGACACTCATGCCCTACGATGGACATTCATCTCCTCCGAGTGGAAGCCCGAAGTGCCTCCGGGCCGCGGGTGCCCGCCGGGCAGCCGCCCCTGCGGCCGCTGCCGCCGCCGCCCGCGGGCGGCGGGCGGCCGCCGCCCGCCCGTCCGCGCGCCGCGCGCCGGGCGTGGGGCGTGCAGCGCCGCTCCCCCCCAGCGGGTCGGGAGCTGTGCTGCGGCGCCGCGCGTCGCTCTCCGCGGGGGGCGCTCCGGCCCATCGCGCTCTGCGGCGCGGCGGGCGCCGCTGCGCCTAGAGCCGCTCTTGGGGCGTTTCGTCGGCGTCCCGAGAGCTTCTCTCGCAGGCCTGGAGGTGGACACCAGCACAAAGGGCTCGGTGGTGGTGGTGGTAAGTTGTTCAGACTGCCGAGGTGGCCGAAGTATGACCACCAACACCGAAATCCAGGATCATCTTGCACCTGTGGATGCAATCCCCTATGTTGGTGTTGGTGCCCATTTCCAGGTCTCGAATTTTCCAAGCCTTGCGCCACGCAGAGCGGAGCGACATGATAGCCGTTTGCAAGACAAACGGTAGGATCGCGTCGTGTCGACCGGCGGCGACCCCAACGCGGGCGTTCAAGGCTGAACGCCACCCTCGGCCCAGAATCGGCCCATCGTGGAGCGATCCTGCGTCTCCGAGACGGCCGATCTTTCAAGGTCGAACGACCCCCGCGGTGTCAGGAACCAACGCCAGAGTCGACACGACACGAACCCAGACATCTGGCCGCTCCATTTTTTTTCCAATGCGTGGGCCGCAGAGGTCTGGACCACTTCCCCAGGACGCGTTCGCCCTGATTCGTTTTCTGACCGCGAGGGTCCCTGAGGCTGGAAACGGCCAAAAACTGCCCGCTCCAGTTTTTCTGGAGTGTCGGACCTCTGGGAACCTGCCGTAGCGTGTTGCTGTGGCCGCCGCCGCGACGCGCTATGTAGTTGCAAGTTCTTGGGCCGCACGGCCGGCTCGACCGACTTGGGCTGCGACCAGCCTCTCGGCGCGATCGTGGTCGTCGGCGGCTGGATCTCGCATAACCGTGCGTCGTGGAGGCCTCTTTGGGCCCCCTTGGCCAGTTTTGGGGCCTCGTGGGCCTGCTGTGGCCTTGGGGGCGAGGGGGCTGTGCAGGGCGGGCGAGCGCTGGGGACGGGATGATCCATGGCACCTCCTTCCCCACGTTTTGTTATCTGGGCACGTCTGCTGCCTGGAAGGCCAGAAACGCAGGGACCTGGTGACAAGAAGGAGCGCGTCTTGTGCTCGATGCGTCTGGGGGCCCTAGCTTCAAGTCGGGCATGTCCCTACAGGAGGAGCATTCAAGAAGAATGAGAAGTACAGAGGTGGCGATTTTTCGTGGTGCTCGTCTGACTACTTTCGATTTTAATTGACTGTGTTCTACTTTTCTTCCACACTCCGCCTGTAGGAGGACATGCCCGACCTAGGACCGGCTTGAGCTTCGCCATGCTCCCCCCGAAGCTCTGCACAGGAGCTCCTGGCTGCCAGCTGGGTCTGGACCCTGCCAGCCCCGAGGGGCGCCGTCCACGGCGGCCCCAGGCGTGACTGCCGACGGAGCCAGGGCGCAGGCCCGACGCAGGGCACTCCTTCAGGGGCCCTTTGCGCGGGGGGGGGGGGTAAGGAGGCCCCTCGCCTTCGCTGGCGCAGCTCCGCCCTCGGTGGCGCTGCCGTGGGCCCGCCCCTCGCGCATCGTCCAGGACGGCAAGCGCTGCTCACCGCCGCCGCCCCTCAGACGCACGCAGGTTCCCTCAGGCGAATCGCGCGCGGCGCGTCCGCCGCGCCTTGCCGTTGATAGGTGGTCTGCACGGCCGCGGCGGCCGTTGCGTTCCCGCGTGCTCGCAGGGTGGAGGCACCCGTCCGAACGCGTGACGCGTCCTTCTCTTCCTTCTACGCCCTCCCTCCCCTCTCGTCATCGCCCTCCTCCTCCTCCTCCTCCTGCGTCTCCTGCTCCTGCTGCTGCTGCTGCTGCTGCTCTCTCCGCCCTAACTCTCGTCGTCGTCGTTGTCGTCGTCATCATCATCCCCCCCCTTTACCTCCCCCTTCCCCCCTCCTCACCTTCTTCCCCGACCTCCTCCCTCCACGCTCCGCGTCCGCCCTCGCCCCGCCACGAGGGAGGAAGCGGGAAGGGGCACAGGGGGGGGGGGGGCGCGGACGGACTGGAGGGGGTGCGGCGAGGATGTCCCAGGCTACTCCATCTCCACCGGCGTGGAGGACCAGTACGGCGGCGACGGTATCGCCGCGAGGGGGCCAGCCTTCGGCATCCCCACGGTGCGGGTGGACGGCAACGACCTGGTCGCGGTCTTCACAGCCACAAGGGAGGCGCGTCGAATGTGCGTAGAGCAGAAGACGCCCGTGCTCATAGAGCTGATGACTTACCGCGTGAGCGACCACACCACGTCGGACGATAGCTCCGCGTACCGAAAGGAGGACAAGGAGGCAGTCAAGGACCGGGGGTCGGACACCGCCGTGCCAGCGCAGCACTCCGTGCGACGACCCTTCAAGCGCCGCCCGTAGGGTCCGCAGCTTGTGGCAGCTGCCTGTGTCTTGGTTTCAGAGTTCCGTAAAGTGTGTCCCCTTTTTTTCCGTAGGCTCTCGAAGGAACTATCATATCCCAGGCAGCCATAATTTGTGGCAGCTGTCCTTCCTAGGGCCGTGACACGTACCAGCTCGCTTCCAGAGTGGAGAGAGTGCCGTAGCCTGATTTCACGGCGATGGTCTAACACTCGCCAGCGCAGGTTTGACATTTGACCATTTCGAGTGCTCAGTCTCTTTTGGGGTCCCCGATGTGATTGCCGAGGCGTTTGTCGCCGTTCATGCTAAGGCATCATAGACCATCACAGGGCATGTTCGAGAGGCTCATCACTTCAATGCGGTTCCCCCCATACAGTAGCTCCCAATGGTGCATGCCAAGGGCGGCTCTATCGTGAGCCTGATCCGGGGGGGAGCGAGAGGGAAGAGTAGCACGAGGACAACGGCGAAAAGGATGGGGCTGCCAGATTGTAAAGCACAGGCCACCGCATGCCTTCCGATAGGGAGGGGTGTCCGCCAGCTTTGCTGTGGTTAGCCAGCGGTGCAGCGGACACTCTGGCCGAGCTTGGAGGTGCCCGAGCCCATCTGTCTTAGGCCATGCGGTCCACGGGCCGCTGAGGCAGAACGGATCAGCGTGGACGTCCCAGCAGCATCTCGTGGTGGCGGTCGACACCGCACGGCGCGGTCATGAGTTGTGCCGCCCCAGTCAACGCCCAGCCAGGTTTGCCGAGGCGAAGCTGAGGGGCCGAGAAAGGTCGCGATTTCGCATCGGCTGGGCCAGGACGCCCAGGGCAGGGCCGTGTACGATCCGATTCGATTCGCCGACTGGGGCGCGATTCCGACTCGATTCGACTGGGTTTCGGCCCGGCTCACGCTCGATTCACCGGCATCGGCTATGCAGGGCTAGCCGGAGCCAGGCGCTGCGATCCGGTCTCGCTTCGCTTCGCTGGCGATCCGCTGCGATCCGATCCCGATCCGATCCGATATGTCGCGATTCGATCCAGCGCAGGCCTGCCAGAGTCCTTGCTGCTTTGGCAGCGGAGGGGCGCCTCCGTCCCGAGTGCTTTGCTCGGCCCGGCCTGGGGCCGAGCCCGCCCCTCGCTCGCGCTCCGTGTGTCAGGGCTTCTTGGGCCCTGCCTGAGCAGCCGGAGGTGCGCTGCAGCTTCCGGGGCAGGGGGGGGAGGAGGAGGAGGAGGAGGAGGAGGAGGAGGAGGAGGAGGAGGAGGAGGAGGAGGAGGAGGAGATGAGGGAGGAGGAGAGGAGAGGAGAGGAGGAGGAGGAGGCGGAGGAGGAGGGGCGGAGGCGGGAGGCGGAGGCGGAGGAGGAGGAGGGTGGAGGAGGAGAGGAGGCGGAGGAGGAGGAGGGAGGAGGAGGAGGAGGAGGAGTGACACGGCAATGATGACGAGCAGGAGGAGGGAGGGGGAGGGGGTGGAGGAGGAGGTGGATATTGAGGAGGAGGAGGATGAGGAGGAGGAGGAGGAGGAGGAGGAGGAGGAGGAGGAGGAGGAATACGACAAGAGCTGTGAGGATTAGGATAGGGGTGATGGTGGAGTTGAGGGTGAGGTCGAAGGGAACGAGAATGATGATGAGGAGGATGAGCAATGAGTGCGGGTGAGGGCGAAGGGAAGCGTGACGGGGATGACAAAGGGGATGTGGCGAAGTCGGATGATGAGGAGGAGACAAGTCGTTTCGGGTAATGCCAATTCTAGTCTGATCAACGCAAGAAAGCAGAGGAGGTGGCGCAACAGAAGGAGGAGGAGGAGGAGGAGGAGGAGGAGGAGGAGGAGGAGGAGGGGGGTAGGCGGGGAGGGGGAGGATGAGGAGAGGAGTGAGGAGGAGAAAGAGAAGGAGAAACAGCAACACATGATGATCAGGAGGAGGAGGAGGGGAGAGTGTTATGAGGAGGAGTAGGAGGAGGAGGAGGAGGTGGTGGGGAGAGAGGGGGGAGGAGGAAGGTTAGGAGGAGGAGGAGGAGGAGGAGGCTAGGAGGATGGAGGAGGAGGAGGAGGAGGAGGAGGAGGCAGGAGGAGGCGGAGGAGGCAGGTGGAGGAGAGGAGGAGGAGGAGGAGGAGGAGGAGAGAGGAGGAGTGACACGGCAATGATGACGAGCTGTAGGAGGGAGGAGGGGGGAGGGGGTGGAGGAGGAGGTGGATATTGAGGAGGAGGAGGATGAGGAGGAGGAGGAGGAGGAGGAGGAGGAGGAGGAGGAGGAGGAATACGACAAGAGCTGTGAGGATTAGGATAGGGGTGATGGTGGAGTTGAGGGTGAGTTCGAAGGGAACGAGAATGATGATGAGGAGGATGAGCAATGAGTGCGGGTGAGGGCGAAGGGAAGCGTCACGGGGATGACAAAGGGGATGTGGCGAAGTCGGATGATGAGGAGGAGACAAGTCGTTTCGGGTAATGCCAATTCTAGTCTGATCAACGCAAGAAAGCAGAGGAGGTGGCGCAACAGAAGGAGGAGGAGGAGGAGGAGGAGGAGGAGGAGGAGGAGGAGGAGGAGGAGGAGGAGGGGGAGAGGAGAGAGGAGAGGGGAGGAGGAGGAGGAGGAGGAGGAGGAGGAGGGAGGAGGAGGAGGAAGGAGGAGGAGGAGGAGGGAGGGGGTAGGAGGAGGGGAGGAGGAGGGGAGAGGAGGTGGGAGAGGAGGAGGAGGAGGAGGAGGAGGAGGAGGAGGAGGAGGAGGAGGAGGAGGAGGAGGAGGAGGAGGAGGAGAAAGAGAAGGACTGGCAGAGCAAGGGCCCCATCGCGCGGTGGCGCGCCTACCTGGAGTCCCAGGGCGCGTGGGACGCGAGCAAGGAGGATGCCTACCGGAGTCAGGCTCGGGATGACATCATCGCGGCGTTCAAGGCTCGGGGGGGGGGCAACCCACCCAGACGGGTATCGAACAAATCTAGCCAGAGGTTATTCCTTGATTTCGGGCTCAAGAAGCCCGTTTTTGGGCCCAGGCCCGTCAGAACTCTTCCCAGGGTTGAACATTTGGCCCGGCTGGTCCGCAGGAGGGTTCCTGGGACCGAGTCGGAGCAGATCTTGCTCGGGATGAATATCCGACTGCGTCATTTGTTCGGTCTCGGCGCCGCTTCTCGATGCCGCTCTCGGTCCAGGGTTACGTCGGGCATGCCCCTTCTACAGGAGGAACATTCAGAAATCGTCCAAACATGGTCTGGGGACGATTTCTAAAAAACGTATATGTGAGGAGTCTGGTTTGAATAGTCTGTTTTTTTTGTCTTTCGTCCAAACTCCGCCGCCAAGGCGCGACGGCCGTGCCTCGGTCCCTGCTGGCAGGCCGACAAGCACCGACACCGTCACGACTACCAGCACCAGGAGTCTTAGGCAATTGCCAGGGTGGCCTTACAGTGCCTGCAGTAGCACCACCAAGACTCGTTTCTTCTGCAGCCACACTTGGCTCACGCCGCCGCCACGAGTCTTTTTCGTCTCGCTCGCCCTGTGTGCCCCATGCACGGAGGGCGGCTTGCTGCCACGATGTCTTTCCAGAAGTTCGCGATCTTGTAGCTGTAAGTAAGGCCTGTCCCTCTACAGGAGGAGTTCTCAAAAATAGTGAAGAATAGTCTGGGGACGATTTATCATATATCATTTTTTGTTTATGTTCTGAATTCATTCTTCCTCCAAAATCCGCCTGCGGGGGGACATGCCCGACGGGAATGTAGCAACACTCACGCGCAGCAATGGTTTTTCGTTAGCTCGGGCAGCACTTTGGGTAACACTGCCTGTACCCTCGCTCCCTTAGCGGGTTCACGCCGATGGATGACTGCATGTGCTCATCAGGCTCTGGTGCCGAGACAGATACGACAGATACAAGTCCGCCTGCGGGGGGACATGCCCGACCTGAGTGTAGCTCTCGGACATGGCCCTGTGCCACAGCCCGTCGCCTGCGGAGAGGGCGATGCCGGGCCGGGGAGACCTGTTCCTCTGGCGGGCCCGTCGCGCCGACGTGGCGCCGGAGCCTGTCGCTCCGCGGGCTCCTGCCGCGGGGGCAACACGGCTGCGGGGCGGCGCTGCCGAAGCCTCAGGAGGAGGATGAGGGGCAGGAGGAGGAGGAGGAGGAGGAGGAGGAGGAGAAGGAGGAGGAGCAGGAGGAGGAGGAGGGGAAGGAGGAGGAGGAGGAGGAGGAGGAGGAGGAGGAGGAGGAGGAGGAGGAGGAGGGTGGAGGTGGAGGAGGAGGAGGAGGAGGAGGAGGAGGAGGAGGAGGAGGAGGAGGAGGAGGAGGAGGACGACGGACGGACGGAGGGAGGAAGGAGTGCGGAGTGGTGGGTGGAGGCTGCAAGAAGTTGTGGTGATGGCAAGGTCACCGGGGGGGTGGTCACCTCATCAGAGGAGGGAACATGTCCACGACAGCGGAGACCCCACAAGCCCAGCACGGGCCCCAGTCTTGATGGGTATCGCTTCCTTCGCCATGCCTGGGGGGCCATGTGGTTGGCGCCAGCGGGCATTCGGAGGGCGGCTGCCCGTGTGAGGTCGCGCGTGAGCGCCCTGGCTTTCCACGCGTTGGGCCGCGCGGGCGGCCTGCACGGACCAACGCATAAGGTCACCGCGTCGACATGCGTGAGGCCCCTGTGTCCTCCCATGCTGGCCGAGGTCGTGGTCCCGGGTGGCCTTGGTTGCGTGGTGGTAGATGCCTTGCTTCTCTTGGTTTTGCATGCGATTGCGAAGCCCTTCTTCTTTTCACGCTGTTCCCCCTCCTCGCCGTCCTCGTCGTCGCTGTCCTCTTCCTCCTCGTCCCTCACCTCCTCCCGAGGTCGGCGAGGCGAAGAAGCGCCCCCCCGTCCGCGACATGTTCACCGACACCTTCAGCGACATGCCCTGGCACCTGGAGGAGCAGCACAGGTCCCGGGCCGTTGACTCTTTGCTGCTGTTTTGGTGGCCGCAACATACGGGATTCGCCGAAATGCGCGCGGCGGTGCCATGCGAGCTGCGTGTGTGCTTGTGTGCGTGCGTGTGTGTGTGTGTGTGTGTGTGTGTGTGTGTGTGTCTGTGTGTGTCCCCGCCGGCGGGGCTGGCCGCGCCACCCGCTTCGGGCGTGACCCGTCCCCCTGAGCGGCCCTCGCCCCGTTTCCCCCCCCCCCCCCCCCCCCCCCCCTTCGGCCGCCCCGCCCTTTCTTCTTCCCCCCCCCCCTCCTGAGGGTGGCAGAATTCGCTACAACGGTGCCCCCGTTTAGTTAGCTCATCCGCAGCGCAGTTACTCTGCCTAGCCGCCGACGCAACAAAAAACAAGTTTGTGTGCGTGTGTGTGTGTGTGTGTGTGTGTGTGTGTGTGTTTGTGTGTTTGTGTGTGTGTGTGTGTGTGTGTGTGTGTCTGTGTGTGTGTGTTTGCCTGCCTTCGAGACCCAGGGGGTTGGGGCCCGACGACTCGCCCGTGCGTTCGACGTAGCTGCACGGGCGCGTCTGAGTATTGTAGGTGGACCTGTACGCGCCCGTCGCCCTTCGGACCGCCGCTAGCCCGCTGCGGCGGGGATTGGCCGGCCTTGCGCTTGGCCTCGTCTTGCGCTCGACGGAGCTGCAGGAACGACGCACTTTTGCTTCAGTTCGCCAGCCTTACGACGCCCTTGCGAATTCGTTTCCCGCCCGCGTGCGATCAAAGAAGTGTGTGTGTATGTGTGTGTGTGTGTGTGTGTGAATGCGTGTGTGTGTGTGTGTGTGTGTGTGTGTGTGTGCATGTGCGTGTGTCTGTGCGCATCTGCGCGCTCTTCCGGGACTGCTGGTCATTGGTCTCCATACAATGTGGCCAATTCGTTGCTCGTGTGACTCGTAGTTCCCTGGTGAATGCTTTCATCGCCGTGTCGGAGGAAACTTGTGTGTCTGTGCCGAAGGGCGCGGCGGCGCCATGCGAATTCCTCTATTGGGGCCCTTGGCGGAGCTGCCCGTGGGGCACGATCCGCGTGAGGGTTGTGCCACAGTGGGCGACGTGCGAGCTCCTCAACTGGATCCATGGGTGGAGCTCCCTATGGGGCACGATCCGGGGGAGGGGTGCCGAAAGTTGCAAGGTGGTGTCATGCGCGTTCCTCAGCATGGGTTGAGCTCTTGTTGGGGCACGATACGCCTGAGGGTTATGACGACATGGGCCCGAAGGTGCCACGCGTGTTCTTCCACTGGGGCCGTAGGTTGAGCTACCTTTAGGGCACGATCCGTGGGAAGGGTGTGCCGAAATGGGCGGCGGCATGCGATTTGTTCTGTCGGGGCCATCGGTGAAGCTTCCCATGAGGCACGATGCGAGTGAATGGTGTGACGGAGTGGGCGCGGCGGCGCGTTGCGAGTTCTTCTGCTGGGGCCGTCTGTGGAGGCTCACTATGGGCAAGTTCCTCGTGGTGTGTGTGTGTGTGTGTCTGTGTGGTGTGTGCGTGCCTGTTTGTGTGTGTATGCGCGTGCGTGTTTGTGTGTGTGTGTGTGTGCCGACTAGGGCGCGGTGCCGCCATTAGATTTCCTCCAATGGGGCCATCGGTATCCATACGTTGATCTCCCTATGGGGCACGATCCGTGCGTGGGACGGGCGACAACAGCAATAGTGGCGGCTGGCAGCGGCAGCAGCAGCAACGGCAGAGTTGTACCACGCAGCAGGCAGTGCAGCAGCAGAAGCGGCAGGACGGGGCGGAGGGAGCGCTGGCGGCAAGAGAGGACGCAACGCGCGGTTGCAGCGGAGAGAAACGAAATACCCAACAACACAAAAAGGTGGGAAACAATAGGGATCTACCGCCAAGACGGCGTCCAGGAGCGGTCAGGGAACCGATTGGGAGCAAATTGTCGCAGCCAGGGACAGCATTCCGCTTTGCTGCCTTCATCTTAGCGGGTTGCTTACATCTTAGCGGGGCAGAGTGAGAGAGAGAGAGAGAGAAAGAGAGACAGACACAGAGAAAGAGAGAGACAGCGAGAGAGAGAGAGAGAGAGAGAGAAAGAGATTGAGATATAGAAGGAAAGAGACAGCACAGTCAGTTGTTGTGCAGTTGTTGTTTTTTGTTTGCTGGGGTCTTGCCGAGGAGCGAATGCAGTCGGGGTCTGCGGTGAGCTTGCTGGGCTTGGTCGGGGCTGCCCGCTGCACCCTCGTCTTTTCGGCCCGTCCGTCCTTGGCCATACAGGGTCCGGCTTGAAAAAGGAGCACTTACTTTTGAAAAGGGGATCAGTCGTTCCTTCGGTTTGCATGAGACTTCCTTGGACAAAATGGGGCTTCGCTCCTTATCTATCGCTTCTTGGGTCAAGCCGGATACTGTGGATCCCAGAGTGGCTGGCCGGATGCCGCCGCCATGCTGCCTGCGTCGATGCCCGGGGGATCTTTTGCACCCGTGCGATGCCCTTGCCCATGCCCTTCCCGGCCGCGGGCTGGGCGGCCGCAGCCCCAGCATGGCCAAGCAAGCAGGTAAGTCGGGCGTGCCCCTCTACAGGAGGACTGTTCAGAAGTAGTAACAAAATCGACAGGGGACGATTTTCGATTATATATCTATTTATGTGTATATATATGTGTGTAATTAATACACACATATTAAAAAGAAAAAGACAACAACTTTTGATCATTTTTGTTCACTTTTGGGCAATTTTTGAGCTTTCGTCCCAAATCCGCCTGTGGGGGGACATGCCCGACCTGAAGCAGGCACCTCGAGATCCGTCGCCCCGAGAGTCAAACCGTCAGCAAACCTCGCGATCTCGGTGCCCTCCTTCGCTTCTTTCCCCGTGCGCCTCTCTCGATCTCTGGAGACCGATCCGTGAGTGCGCCCCCGGCGGCCCGAGATAGAGAGAGACGTCGTCTTCTTGCTTTTGCTTGCGTCTCCCTCACCCCGGCGACGCCCACTTCTGGAAGTCCTCCGTAGGTCTCCAGAGGTCGGAGGTGCGGGAGCCTTGAGACGGGGGTCAATGCAGACGGGGGTCAGCCAGAGCGCCCGATCTTGCAGGATCCTCCAGGACCAGGGGCGCACTGACCCGGGCTTGGATGCAGGATCCTGCAGGATCCTTCGCGTTGACCCGGGCTTGGGTGCGGGAGCTTGCAGGACCCTGCGGGATTCCGCAGGGCCTGACTGGCCCGGGTCTGGACTGACCCGTGTCAGAAGGTCCCCACCCACCAAACCACCCCAACCCAACCGGAAGGCCTCAATTTGCCTTCCATTTCCAGTGGGGGGGGGGGGGTCGGGAAACATCGAAAAACATTCATGGAGCCCATACCCCCCCCCCCAGCCCGAAATTCGGGTCTTCGGGTTAGGTTGGGGTGGTCTGGTAGGTAGCCAGAAGGTCCCCGAGGGTCTCCATCTGCAGGGGCCGAGGGGCGGCCGGGAGGCGTCCAGAGGCCCCCGCCCGCGAACCATCGCGAGGCTCGGGGGGGGGGCCAGGGCAGGCCCGGCGGCCGCGGTCCCCTTCTATAGACTTGTAGAATTCAGTCGGGCACGTCCCTCTACAGGAGGAGCGTCAGTCGACAAAGAGTATGTTTATATATATATATATAGGTTTCACAGCTTCTTCTTTTTGTTTTTATATCACTATTTGTGAACACATGATTTTGACATGTTTTATATTTCGCCCAGAATCCGCCTGTGGAAGGACATACCCGACCTGATAATATAACCTGGAGGGAAGGCCTTCCCTTGGTCTACCCCAAGGCCCTTCCCCGAGGACTGCCCTAAGCCTACCCCTTCAGGCCTTTCCCCTGGGCCCTTCCCGCAGGCCTTTCCCAGGCCCGCCACCCCTTGGCCCTTCCACCAGGCCTACCCTAGGCTACCCTAGGGCCTTCAACAGGCCCTACCTCGGCGGAAGCTGGAGCACATACATTACCAGTGGTGGGCTGTTTTTGAATCCCAGGACTCTTTGAGGGTCGGGGGCGACGTCGGGGTGGTGTGGTGTATACTTTGGTTCCCCGTGTTCTGGAGGAAGCAGCGAAAGATGTATACACAAGGATCCCGTATACACCAGGATCCTCTTTCCAGTGCGAGTTTCAGTGCGGGGCCGAAAAAGCGTCGGTGTGTGTATATGTTTGTATATATACATATATATATGTATACAGAGAGAGAGAGAGAGAGAGAGTAGAGAGAGAGAGAGAGAGAGTAGAGAGAGAGAGAGAGAACAAACAAGATACATAAATGCATGCATACACATATACATATACACACATATGGAGAGAGAGAGAGAGAGAGAGAGCTCGGCTCCTTACTGCTCTAGGCTGCCCTGGGGCCTTGGGCAATCAGGCCCTACAGGGCGGGCTCGCCCGCCTCCCGTGTTAGACCGCGGCCCCAGGTACGTCCAGCAGCACATCCGGGAGTACCCCTCGGACTACAACATCGAGAAGTACCGGGACCTCGACGGCCCAGCCCCGGTGGTGGAGGACCGGAGGCTGGCCTCCGCGCCGCTGCGCGTGCCGCCCGCGCCCACGGGGCCGACGCAGGAGCCGAGGGCAGCACAGCCCGCCCCCCGGCCCCGGAGGGTTTCTCCGAAGGGCTTATAGGCGACCCCATCCTCCTCCTCCTCCTCCTCCTCCTCCTCCTCCTCCTCCTCTCCTCCTCCCCTCCTCCTCCTCCTCCTCCTCCTCCTCCTCCTCCTCCTCCTCCCCCTCCTCTCCCCCTCCTCCCCCTCCTCCCCCTCCCCCTCCACCCCCTTCTCCCCCTCCTCCTCCTCCTCCACCCGGCCCCAGCCAGGACCCTTACTCTCGGAGGCCTCGAGGCGTACACCAACACCAGTATCGGCGGAGTGCCCCCCCCGAGGGAGGGTGATCCAGATCTCGGTGGTGGTGGTAAGGTTCGGACTTCTCGGGTGGCCGGAAGATTGCCACCATCACCGAAATCTAGGATCACTTTCTCCTCGTGGAGGCAACCCTCGGTGTTGGTGTTGGTGCCCATGTCTAAGCCTCCAGCACTCCCGACCTGGTGATCCAGCTGGTCCAGGCTTTGAGGGGGTGGCTTTCTTGGTTCCCAGAACCTTCAAACACCCCATCCCCCCACACAGGACTTCCTACACCACCAGGTCGGCAGTGGGGGTCTTGGCTGACGGTGGGGGTGGGCTGTGCTGTTCTCAGGAGATGACGATGGTGGCGGCCATCAACGACGCGCTCTCCATCGCGCTGGCAGAGAAGGACAGGCCTGGGTTCAAGCCGGCTCCGGGTCTGAGGTGGCCCAGCACCGGGTCCTGCGAGCAGGAAGAGGGGAAGAGGTTAGAGGCTCTGGTGTCGAGCAAGTTTTTATCTGTTTTGGCCTCTGGGGGCCGTTTCGGGTCCAGGGACCGTCAAGAACTGATCCGGGGTGACAAACTGCACCAGATGGACCCCGGGGAGGGTCACCCCCTACGGCCACCCACCCGAGATTTTGAACGGATTTGCCCTCGTCCCCTCCCATTGACCGATTCCTGGCGCCCCAGCCAGTTCGGACCCCCTGGCCCAGTTTTTCTTCCAGGGGCCAGCACTTCGAGTCGCGTTTCCGGCTGCGGCCACGAGTACAGGGCGCCCCGGGAGGCCAGCAACACGCCGACGGGGACGACGGCGACGGGCTTGGTCCCGTCCCGTTCTGAGCGGTTTTCAGCCAGGCGTCGTCGTCGTCGTCGTGGTCCTCGTCGTCGTCGTCGTCGTCGTGGTCCTCGTCGTCGTCGTGGTCCTCGTCGTCGTTGTCGTCGTCGTCTTCGTCGTCTTCGTCCGCGGGGGGACCGCCCGAGACCCGGCCCCCGCGCGAGGAGAAGAGCGTGCTGTTCGGCGAGGACGTCGCGTTCGGGGGCGTGTTCCGCGCCTCGGTGGGGCTGCGGGACAAGTTCGGCCCCGAGCGGGTCATGAACGCGCCGGTGGCCGAGCAGGCCTGGGCCTCCCCTCCTCCTCCCTCGCTCCTCCCTCCTCACTCCCCTTGCCCTCTGTCTCCTTGTCCCTGCTCCCTCATCCCTCCTTTCCCCTTCTTTTTCTTCCTCCCCTCCTCCTTACCTCCTCATCCCTCTTGTCGTCGTCGTCGTTGTCCTACTCCTTCTCGCTGATTCGTCCCTGCCGTGGGAGGGCGAAGTGTTCGGACAACTGGGGAAGGGCGGGGGGCCGTGATTTGTTCGAGGCGAGGCCGCTTGGGCTCAAGCCATTTTGGCGTAAGTTTTGGCTCAAAAGCCATCGCTTCGATCCAATATCGTCCACTCAAGGGGACCTCGATCAGACACCATCCAGCTCCAGCCTCCCTTTTGCGCCCCAGGAGAGGTCGAGAGACAGATCGGGGGCAGGAGGGAGCGGCAAGGAAGGCAGTGGACGCGCATACCTCAGGAGGGAAAAAACACAGACACAATTAATCGTCGATTCCCAGAAAATATAGAAAAATGGGAAGTGGGGGGGATGACAAAAACCCAGAACATGTGGGACAGTATGGGGAATCATGTTATTTGTGTGTATTTATTTGTGTGTCCTTGGGCCCCTTGAATACCTCCAGGCCCCCTGTCTTCCCTTCTCTCCACTCCGCTCCCCTCCACCTCTCCCGAAGGCCATCGCGGGCATGGCGGTGGGGCTGTCCGTGGCTGGCTACAGGGCGATCGCTGAGATGCAGTTCGCGGACTACATCTTTCCAGCCTTTGACCAGATCGTGAACGAGATCGCCAAGTGCGACCGACGACGACGACGACGACGATGACAACGCCGACGACGACGACGCTACAACGACGACGACCCCTGTCCAAATTCTGCTCGAAACGGGTCGACCCATCCTGGGTACCATCCCGGCTCGTGTTTCCAGCCGCGCCGAGCCGTGGCAACGACGCCCTCCTCCGGATGCCACGACATGAGGAGGAAGAGGAGAAGGAGGACGTACGTGCAGGCATTTGCCGGGGAGGACGAGGACGTGGACGAGAACGAGGATGTCCTGGTAAGCTTGCGCTTCCGCCCTGGATCTTCAACCCCCCAGCCGCTCCCAGGAGGCTCCCGCGGACCCTCGGAGGTCCCTGGGAGAAGCTCCAAGAGGCCTTCCGGAGGCCTGCAGCGTCCCGCAGACGGTCGAAGTCGTTCGAAGTCCCCCTTCCTCGGCCTTCCGGGGTCGAGGGCAGGGCTAGGCTGACGGCGGCGACGGCGACGACGACCGGACCAACGACGACATGCTGCTCACCAGAAAGATGACAATAACTAGGGAGAGGTGGGTGGAAGAGGAGGAAGAGGAAGACGAGGAGCAGGAGCAGGTTAAGGTACATCGCGCTGCGTGAGGAGGAGGAGGAGGAGGAGGAGGAGGAGGAGGAGGAGGAGGAGGAGGAGGAGGAGAAGGAGAGTCAGGACGGAGAGCAGGAGCAGAAGGAGGAGGAGGGTCAGCATGGAGAGCATGAGGAGAAGAAGGAGAAGGAGGAAAAGGCCAACGACGCCGACGACTGCGACGCTACGGCAGGTATAGATACCGCAACGGCGGGGGCGGCTGCGAGAACATCACCATCCGCTCGCCGTGCTCCGCGGTCCAGCCTCCTCTCCTCTGAAGCCCGCGCTGCCGCCGCTGTCGCCGTCGCCGTTGTCGCCGTCCTCCCCCTCTGCCCCATCAGAGCTTGACGATTTGCTGGGCGCCAAGCCTCGCAGGGTGGTCCCTTCCCCAAGTCGATTATTCGTTGCGGATTGTAAGTGCGCCTTGTCTTCGTCCTCCTCTTAGGTGTCGTCGTGGTCGTGGTGCGTGTTGCTCTGCTCGGGACCAGTGTCCCTTCTGCAGTGAGCAACGCCACCGCCCCCTCCACCCCTGTTTCTGATGTTTCGCTCATCCTCGTCGCACTGCTTCGCACCACCATGCGTGTGAGCAGTGCGTCTCGGGCGGATCGCTAGCTTCCTCGTTGCTGTTGGCCCTAGGATGGAGGGCGTGCCGTTTGCAACATGTGTGCTAGAACCTTCGCGCCGCGCGCACTCGTTTCAAATGCTTCCAACGTCAACATGGAGGCCGGATGGTTTTCAACATGTGAATATCGCATCAGAGCTGCGCCCACTTGCGCTGAGCTTTACAACAGCCGCACTGATGCAAGGTGGATGGTGTAGAGCATTTGGCTGTCGCCTTAGCGCCGTGCGCATTTAGCAAAGCTCCCATCAGCTGCAAGGATGAGGTCTGCTCCTCGTCAGATCGGAGCTGTCGCTAGAGGCCTTCTCGATCTCGAGAAAGACGTGCGGACACGTCATTTTTTTCAACGGCTGTGCGTTTTTTATGTTTTTATATTTTTCTATTTGTTTGTTTTATAATAAAATAGTATAGATATGTGTATATTTAAATAAGAATATATGAGTTTTGGGTTCTCGCTGGAGACCTCATTCGCGGTATGCCTGGTCGCGTAAATTTTGTGCAGCAGCGGTATTGATGCGTGGCGGCTCCTTTTCGAAATGGGACTCTCGCTGGGCTCATGGTTGAACCGGGTTGTCATACCTCGTCGCATTATCTAGAAGGGTCCAGGGTAGTTTCTTTTTGAACGAGGCACTCGCCTGAATGACATGCTAATCGTATGCTCGGTGGCTTCCCATATTAGAGACATGCTTGCAGGGTCTCATAATGAGAGGGCGCACGGGGGGCAGCATTGCTCCTGGGTTGACGCTGGTCCTCCTCCTCCTCCTCCTCCTCCTCCTCCTCCTCCTCCTCCTCCTCCCCTGCTCAATTTTCTTCTCCCCCCCTCCCCTATTCTCCTTTCCCCTCCAACGAGCAGTCGTACACACCGAGGCATCTTCGCACCAGGTGCACAGCCACCCGAGGCGTGCAGCGGACTGGCGGGACAAACGACCGGGCAGGTCCTCGAGCCTCCTCACTCCCTCCCCTTCCCTCCCTCCCCCTCCTCGAGCTTCCTCATTCCCTCCCCCTCCTCGAGCTTCCTCATTCCCTCCCCCTCCCCCTCCCTCCCTCCCCCTCCCTCCCCCTCCTCGAGCCTCCTCATTCCCTCCCCCCCCCTCCCGCGGGTCGGCGGGACTCCCGCGCGCCCCCCCTCCCTCCTCGGGGCGGGCCTCGCCCGAGGTGGGCCACGGCAGCATGTACCACAGCCAGAGCCCGGAGTCGTACCTCCCGGGGGATGGCGGGAAGGGAGAGGGAGAGGGAAGGGGAGCGGAGGGAGGGGAAAGGAGAGGGGGTAGGGGAGGGGAAAGGCGAGGGGAAAGGAGAGGGAGGGAGGGGAGGGGGAAGGAGAGCGGAGGGAGGGAGGGGAGGGGGAAGGGGAGGGGAAAGGAGAGGGGGGGGGGGGAGCGGAGGGAGGGAGCGCGTGGGCGGCCCAGAGGGGGGGGAGAGGGACGACGGGGAGGAGGAAGAGAAAGGTCGGAGACTTGGGGCACAGAAGAAGGAGAAGGGGGGCGCAGCAGGAGTGGGAAGGAGGGAGGGGGGAAGGAGGGAGGGGTAGCGCATCATTAGTCATTGGCATTTCCCCAGCAGCTGTGCTTGCCTTAGGGCTGCTTTCTTGGTCTGAGAGCTGGGCCCGTCTGCCGCTCTGGCTGCTATGTGACCGCCGTCGCCGCCCCGTCGCCGCCTCGTCGAGGCCCGTCGTCTGGGCCTGGGTACCTCTCTGGCAGCTTTGTAGCCGCCGTTACGGCCCCGTTGCCGCCTCGTCGCCACCCTAGATTGTCCTTTCTACAGACAGAGTAGGATCTTGATGAGGAGGAGGGAGGAAGGGGGGCGGATGAGGATGAGGAGAATGAGCACGAGGAGGAAGAGGAAGAGGAAGAGGCGCGCAAATAAGAGGGATCAGGTGGAGGAGAGGGTGAGAAAAGGGAGACGGGGCTGGAGGTGGGTGAGGGAGGACGAGGGGGAGGGGGATAAGGAGGAGGAGGAGGAGGAGGACGAAGGAGGAGGAGGAGGAGGAGGAGGAGGAGGAGGAGGAGGAGCACGACAGCGACGCTGACGGCCCGCAGGTACTTCGCCCACTGCCCCGGGCTGAAGATCGTGATCCCGAGGAATCCGCGGCAGGCGAAGGGCCTGCTGCTGGCCGCGATCCGGGAGCCAAACCCGGTGCTCTTCTTCGAGCCGAAGGCCAGGGCCGTTGCATCGGCACGGCTAGGGATCGAGGTTAGGGTTAAGTCGGGCATGTCCCTCTACGGGGGCATCCGCGATGCGGCTCGATGTGGGCCCCGATTTTCTACACGCTGGCGTCGCCGATGCATCGCGGATATCGCCGGTGCATCGCCAGTGCATCGGCGATGTGTCGCCGATGTGTCGGCGATGCGGCACGATCCGCCGACCCTGGTGCTCTTCTTCGAGCCGGAGGCCAGGGCCTCTGTATCTACACGGCCAGGGATCGAGGTTAGGGCTATGGTGTTCCAGCCTGTTTTAGCCTTGATCACCAGAAGGAATTTCGAGCACCAGGGAAATATCGAGATTCGAGGGTTTTCACGTGTCGGGCGCTGGATGGCGATACTCGTTCGACATTGTGTCGATACTTTTCTGGGGGGGGGCCATGATCGAGTGCGTTTCTGTTTTTTTTTGGGGGGCCTCCCCGACGCGACGGAGGGATCCTCGTCGACATGCCGGTGGGAGCGCGCCTCCTCAGAGGAAAGGGGCGGACGTCCAGGTTTGACCCGCGGGCCCAGACCCCCTCGCGACGGGAAACACCGCGGCGCCAGTTGTCTCTTAGCTGCTCTGTTTGCGTCTGGGCCCCCCGCTCCTTCATCACAGCGGGAGGGCGCCTGTTCCTCGCTAGAGGACTCCGATGCGGGCGTGGAGTTCCAAAAAGTGTCCGTCTGGGGGTCCGCTTTTCCTGGCCCTGGACGATGAGCAACCAGCCCCAGGGAAGAGGCCAACATTTTAGGCCTCCTGGATGGGGTCCGAGTGGACGGTGTCGGAGGAGCGCGCCGCATCCTCGATGCATCGGCGATGCGGCTCGATGTGGGCCCCGATTTTCTACACGCTGGCGTTGCCGATGCATCGCGGATGTCGCCGGTGCATCGCCAGTGCATCGGCGATGTGTCGCCGATGTGTCGGCGATGCGGCGCGATCCGCCGACCCCGGTGCTCTTCTTCGAGCCGGAGGCCAGGGCCGTTGTATCTACACGGCCGGGGATCGAGGTTAGGGCTATGGTGTTCCAACCTGTTTTAGCCTCGATCATCAAAATGGTGATCCAACCCCATTTGCTCCGTTTCCCTCTGGGAGGCCTCTAAGCACAGCCTCGACCGGCCCACGCTGGCCTCGGACGGTTCCCGCGGTGGGCCCGAGGGGAGGGGCGAGGGGAGGGGGGGCGCGCGCACTCTCCGCGACGCGCCCCAGACCCCCCGGCCGCTCTGGGGCCCCGCCCTGGCCGACGCGCCCCCCCAAAACAGCAGCAACACCACAGACTTTCGGAGGTCCGCGCGGCTCTCTTGGCTCGGCGCCGGCCAGTTCCCCTCCCCCAAAATCCCTGGGCGGGAACTTTGGCTTCCAGCGGATGCCCACGCCAAGAAGCAGCCTGCTTGCCTCCAGGGTGCCCTTGTATTTTCTTGGGCTTCGATGGCTTTGCAGTGGAACGCGCGACGTCACCACACCCAAAGGCAATAGACGCCCTGGGGTCTCAGGATTGGGTTTCTTGTGGAATGTGTCTTGGGGTCGAGCTCCTACTGCAAATGCTTTCGGAGGTCAGCGCGGATCTCTTGGCTCGGCGCCGGCCTCCCCCCCACAACAAGAAGCCCTGGGCGGGACCTTCGGCTTCGAGTGTGGCGCCGCCGGTTCTGGCCCAACGCGCTTCGGCGCCACACGCTGCCCACACTCTTCCGCATCGTTGATCCGATCCCTGTCCCCAAGGGGCCATGGCATCTCATCCCCGCCCGCGTACCACCCCGGTTGGGGACAACAGCCCCCTCGAAGCCCGAATGGAGCAGCCCATCTGCCCATCTTTAGGGGAAGACCTCGGCCAACAATGGGGCCTCCTCCTTCTCCTCCTCCTCGTCCTCCTCCTCGTTCTCCTCCTTCTCGTTCTCCTCCTCCTCCTCCTCCTCCTCCATCTCCTCCTCCTCCTCCTCCTCCTCCTCCTCCTCCTCCTCCTCCTCCTCCTCCTCCTCGCCAGTGGGGATGGGGACCGGTGAAACGGTGCGCAACTCTTGGCCCCCGAGCGTCCACGCCCCGAGCTTTTTTCCGAGCCTGCCGCTCCGCGGAGCGGAGCGGCACGGTATCCGCTTGCGGGGCATACGGCGCCGGTTTTAATGCATGCTCCGCGCGCGGACCATGTATTGAAAATAAAGGGCTGATTAATAGATACAAGGATGAAAATATTCTAGGCCTCCTAGATGGGGTCGGAGTAGATGGGGTCGGAGGGTCGCGCCGCATCGCCGATGCATCGCCGATGCGGCTCGATGTGCAGCCCGATTTGCGTCACGTCGGCGTCGCCGATGCATCGCCAACGTCGACGGTGCATCGCCAGTGCATCGCCGATGCATCGCCGATGCATCGACGATGCATTGCCGATGTATCGGCGATGCGGCGCGATCCTCCAATCCCATCTACTCCGACCCCATCTAGGAGGCTTCTATTTATGCATTAAGATATTCCCAAATTAATCATGCATTACAATTCCTATATATATATACATCCTATGTATTAAAACCTGCCATGTAGGCATGTCGCTGGGGCCGCCGCCACGACACTCCAAGTCGGGCATTGCCAGGACCCGGGTTGAAGGGGAGCCGGTTAGGGATTGGGCCCCGAGGGCCAAAAATTGGGCCCAGACCACTATCAACCAGATCTGCCGATTTTGGTGTCTGTCGGGTGACGGCAGCTCCGGTGAGTGGAGTGGAGCGGGGGAGGGCCTCCCCCAGTACGCATCACAAAACCAGGCCCGAATAGACCCAGTCTTGCTAAAGCCCGACTAGGCAACGATTCCTGACCGTGCATGCTTCGACCCGGGTGCGTTCGCTGCTCTTCGTCTTTGGCACCGCGCTCGGCCAAGCGCGGCTTCAGGGTATACGCGCTCGGCCAAGCGCGGCTTCAGGGTATATGCCTCCCAGCCTTTCTAAAGAGGCCCCCCGAGGTGCCGGGGCGAGGCCGACCCAGGTGAAGGCAGACTGACGCCCCAAGCTTGCGCCGCCTCTCGTCCGAGAAGGCCGCCGGGACTTCGGGGCTCACGCAACGGGAATCAGCGCTAGTAGGGTCCCACCTGGCGGACCCGGGCTTGGGAGCCACGTGGGGCCGATCCGCCATGTCCGCCCTCTGGTGCCCTGGGTTTTTGTGAGCTTCTGAGCGCCCAGCCAGGCTTCGCGACGGGGCCCGGCCGACCCAGGCCGTAGCTGACCCGGCCTTGTGCTTCCCCGGTGGCTGAGGGGCTCGGTGGCGCGCAGACGGGGGTGGGACGAGGGGAGCAGCCTTCCCCAGAGATCAGGCGCTGCAGCAAACATTGGAGCGGGCGGTTTTGTTGGCCGCTCTTGGCCTCCGGGGGCCCCCTCGCGGGGCCTCGGGAGCGCCGAACACCGTCGCAGGACGAAGCGCCGGTCCTGGGGAAGTGGTCCAGGCCTTCAGGGCCCACGCATCGAAAACTTTGGAGCATCCAGACGTCTGGGGTCCTGAGAAGAAGGCAGGGTGCTTCTCAGAGGCAGTCCCGGCCTCTAAGAAGCCTTCTCAGAGGCCTCCGAGCGCTTCCAAGAAGCCCCCTGCCTTTTTTCGGGATCCACGCATCTACATCACCACCGCGGGCTGGTTTTCTGTCATGGGGGTTGATCGAATTATTGTTTCGGCGGTGGGTTGCAGGGTGCGTCAAATCTCGCGGTAATGACATGTCGCGTGTGCAGCGTCATTTGGGCACGCGGCTGCATCCGCAAAAAACAACATATTCACGTGGTGTATGTTTTGGGGTGGTGTATCAAATCCCTGGGGGGGTCCATCGTTGTTATATATTACCACCGAGCTGCCATAGGGTGCTTGGGAACACTTGTCCGCGACCGAATGCGGCCGCCATCTGCGCGCACGACTACGTGGCAAGTACTTGCGCTTGGCGGGGGCAGGCAGTGGCACCCCTGTCAGGGCGGTCGCGCGCAGGATTCTTTTTCTTTCCCTATGGCCGCATGGTGGAGGTGCATCTACTGGGGCCCCGCACTTCTCTCAGCAGGCCGCCCCTGGCCCCCACCCCGTGAGCGCGCCGCCGAGGGGTGTCGCGAGTGAATCGACTGCGCGCCTCTTCGCGCGGAAGCCGCCCGCGCAAGGTCGCGCGCAGGCGCTTGGCTTCCGCACGGTGTAGCGCGCTGGCGGCCTGCGTAGGCCAGCGCGTACAGTCGGGGCCCTGAAGAAGGAACCCTTTCGGTTGGGGAGGGGCTCCGCGTTCCTTAAGTGTTTCACAGCTTGCCTCAGGTTTTCCTTATGTTTCGATAGGAAATCGAAGTTTAACTTATGGAAATCAAGGGGCCTCGTTCCTTAGGGTTCCTTAGGTCAACGCCCCGACTGTAGGGCCACGGTGCCTTCGTGCCGCAGGGAAGGGCCTTCGCGCGAACCCTGCTCCGAAAGCCCTTCCGGGAAGTTCTCCAGGGGCGCCTGTGAGGAGCGTCTTGTCTTGGCCGCTGCGAGATTTGAAATTGGACCGCCTGGGAGCCGCCTCGTTCCCCTGGGCCCTGGCGCCGTGCCCGCGCAGGGTGCTGACTTTTTCCTTGTCGTTGTCCTCCCTGTTCTCCTCCTCCTCCTCCTCCTCTTCCTCCTCCTTCTCCCTCTGACCGTCGTCGTCCGCATCGCCGTCGTCGCCGAAGGTGCTTTACCGCTTCAAGTTCCAGGGGGCGGAGGCACAGGTCCCCATCGGGGACTACGAGCTGCCGCTCGGACAGGCCCCTGGTCACCTCCCGCCACACCAACGGGGGGAAGCGATGAAGACTCCAGGCCTCCCGAATGGGGTCCGAGTAGACGGGCTCGGAGCATCGTGCCTCATCGCTGGTGCATCAGGATGAGGCGCGATGTGGGGCCCACTTTCCTCCAAGCTGATGATTCTGGTTCATGATGGTGATGCTGATGCTGACGATGCTGATGTTGATGATGATGGTGATGCTGATGCTGATACTGATGCTGATACTGATGATTATGCTTATGCTGGGTATGTTGATGACGATGTGTATGATGATGGTGAATATATTGTTGGTGGTAATGACGATGATGCTGACGACAACGATGATGGTGATGATGCTGTTGATGATGATAGTGATGAGGATGATGATATTGATGCTGATGCTGGTGCTGATGCTGATGATGACGATGATAATGATGTTGCTGAGGATGTGGATGAACACGGGGAAGGGGATTGAGGATGAGGATTACGATGGTGATGCTGATG